AAAAGGTACACGGCCGTTACTGGGCCTACGCCCTACACGCTCAGCCTGTCATTCCGCCGAATCTCTATGTTTATAAACATGATAGCCTGAGGTCCCCAGGTAACACGGCCGCTGTCTGATGCTGGTATACTAAGCTAGTCATTTACTGATCAAGATGTTACTTGATTAATTCATTCATTCGAATTTGAACTAAGATGAGCTATGATATAATGTTCATTTTAAACCATTGGATCAACCAACGCACGTTTTGATTGTTATTAATAAATACCAAAATTTACAACTTGTTCTCCTAATTTCATTACATCTGAAGAATCATATATGACTATTGACATAACTCTTTGTCCGGTTTGTGTGTTTGTCGCCTGTCTGGACTCTCGTAGTCATGTAATTTTTAATTTTTAATTTCTAATTTGTTATTTTAATTTTAATTTTAATTTTTCAATTTTCTAAATGTGTGTTCTGCTCCGGGACTCGATTACCGTATCGGCTTTCTTGAGACTGTAAATTTGGAAAGCCAACTATGCGGGGCGCCTGCCCACCGGCACTGAAGAGTGATCAAAGAATTAACTAAAATTTCCTAATATAACGATTGAATATAGAGTTGTTTAACCGGCGCGGCCATGGGTGTGTGGCCTAGCTTTGGCTGCACACCTATGACTGCGCTGTTGCTGGTGGACAGGCGCAGTTTTTGTTGTGCAGTAGTGTTGCAAGAGAATAAAACCAACTTATTATGTACTAAATGGAATCAAGAATATTATTGACTATATTTGATAACGATGAATTGTAAATTTCGATCAATTTATATTTTTCGGTCTCCAATTATTGAACTGCGGAAGCTGGTTGCCTCAACAATGTTGACTATGCATGGTATGACTGAATTGTAAAAACGTGATAATTGAACGAAAAATAAATGATGAACATGATTCAAAAACTGTAAACCACCAAATGAATTATCGCTTAAATTTAAATAAGTATTTAAACAAAAACCACCATGTGCCGTTAAGCAGCAGGGCGCGGCTCATCTGGGCCACAGCAAATCGGCGAAAATGGGTTCGAAAAAGCCACTATTGGCACTCGAGTCCTTGATCTTTCCGATGGTTCACTGGGGCTTTTGAGCTGCCGTCCTTCAGCTTCTGTAAACTGAAATTACTACCAATCCAAGTTGAAGCAATCAGCCGACGCGCGGCTTTTATGGTTATATATGATATGTTTAATCTGTAATAAAGATCAAAATTCAAATTTGTTTCTCTAAATTTGTTTCTCTTGGTCACGGTGTTACACCTACATAGCTTTGACATTCTGGGTAGCACTTGACAAATGATGATATTACTGTGATTTCAAACGAAGAAAAAAAAGAAAAAAAGAAAAAAAAAGAAAAAAGAAACAATAGACGATTTCTGTTACCTATGTATTGTACTCTGCCAATTTTATCACTTGATTTGATTTCTTGTATTCATTTTATCTAATATTTTGGCTGTTACCCTCTTTATGATCTTGGTACCTTTGATATTGCCCCCATTTTATCATAAGTCATTTCCTCGAGTCATTCCTCATACTCCTTTTTTATTGCAAGTATGAAACAAACATGATTAATGAGGATCAAACTAGTGAGAACAATATGGAAATGAAAAATCAGTTGTTAAAACAAGAACAGATCAGTGATGAGGAAAGTGTTTCGTATAATACAAACAGCTTTGAAAACTTGAAGAGTTTTATCATTCCTATTACATCTGCATCTGACCAAGAACTAGTTAACAACAAGGCTACCATAAAGTATGAACTTGAGTGTAAAACTGGTGTACAAAATATTCAAGACATAATTATAATGACTGGCGGTGACAAAAATCAATTTGAAAACTTGGAGATAAAGGGGTCTCTTCAAACGATTGCATCAACTCATGATTTTAAATCCCCTGTAGGTTCTCCAGATGGAGCTGCTCTAACCAGTGCGCCCTCAGGGACTGGAGATTACTTTTACAAATGTAAGAAGTGTGCTTTTAAAACCATATCCTCCTATCGTTTGAGAAATCATTACAAGAATGAGCACATTTTAGAACTTTACTCCTGTACTATCTGCCATAAGGTCTATCGTCATTCTCGTGGTTTAAAGGATCACATGCGAATATACCATTCAGGAAATCACTCTACACTGAAATGCCGTAAATGTAAATTTGAAACAAAAAGTTGGCTGCAAATGAAAAAGCACATGAGATTGCAGCACTATAGAAGTGGTAAGCCTGTCAGTGATTGTTCTGAATGTGGGTTCAAAACCAAGTATGAAAGATCGATGATCCGTCACAAGCTCAGTAAACACAACATTTTACCAGATGATTCAGTAAAAGTGTATTCCTGCAATGTATGCCAAAGGCCTTTTCTTTACAAATACTTTCTTTCAGTACACATGAGAAAGCACACTGGAGAACGCCTATTTGTATGTGAATACTGTGACAATTCTTTTCAGTATTTGAAGTGTTTAAAAGAACACAAGATTAGAGCTCACTTCAAACCTAAAACATTTATCTGCTCTCATTGTAGTATGAAGTTCTCAGACAAAGAATCATTGGAAAAGCATTTCCTAAAACACTTCACATATAAATGCTCGAAATGCTCATTCAAAGCGACTCGGAAGGTTGACTTTGTAAAACACTGTCAGGACACTGCCTGTGAAGTTGTTAATACCTATTATTCTTGTTCCAGATGCCTCAAATCATTCGCTCATAATCGTTCCCTTACAAGACACTTGCAAAGAACTTGCAAGGAGGTTGATATTAAAGTTAAATCAGAGATTGTAGATGAAGATCTATCTACAGTTGATGTAAAGAAGCTTGTGAATAAGAGGAATAAAAAAGGGGAAGAAATTTGCAAAGAGACAAAGACGATCGTTACTTGTGAGCACTGTAATGAACACTTCCCTTCTACCAAAGTTAAAAAACGTCATTTAAATTATTGCAAATTCAAGTAGCTGTAAACGTTAGTATTTGAATTCTCCAATTCCTACAGTTAATTTCTGTTTCATATAACCTTTAGAAGTTGATCAGTTTTATTTCGAAGAACTGTATTGATTATATTGCTACTCAGTAATTTTGTATGCTAACTTCACATCATTCCGATTTGCCATCTTAGGCTCCAAAATAAAGTAGCAATCGACCATTTGTGTTACCTATGTATTGTACTCTGCCAATTGTATCACTTGATTTGATTGAATGTATTAATTTTATCTGATATTTTGGCTGCTACCTGCTTTATGATCTTGGTGCCTTTGATATTGCCCCCATTTTATCATAAGTCTTTGTTCTCAAGTCATTCCTCAAACTCCTTTTTTTATCGCAGGTATGAAACAAACATGATTAATGAGGATCAAACTAGTGAGAACAATATGGAACTTATAAATCAGTTGTTAAAACAGGAACAGATCAGTGATGAGGAAAGTGTTTCATATCATACAAACAGCTTTGAAAACTTGAAGAGTTTTACCATTCCTATTACATCTGCATCTGACCAAGAACTAGTTAACAACAAGGCTACCATAAAGTATGAACTTGAGTGTAAAACTGGTGTACAAAATATTCATGACATAATTATAATGACTGGTGGTGACAAAAATCAATGTGAAAACTTGGAGATAAAGGGGTCTCTTCAAACAATTGCATCAACTCATGATTTTAAATCCCCTGTAGGTTCTCCTGATGGAGCTGCTCTAACCAGTGGGCACTCAGGGACTGGAGATTACTTTTACAAATGTAAGAAGTGTGCTTTCAAAACCATAACCTCCTGTCGTTTGAGAAATCATTACAAGAATGAGCACATTTTAGAACTTTACTCCTGTACTTTCTGTCATAAGTTCTGTCATCATTCTCCTGGTTTAAAAGAGCACATGCGAATATACCATTCAGGAAATCACTCTACATTGAAATGCCGTAGATGTAAATTTGAAACAAAAAGTTGGCTTCCAATGAAAAAGCACATGAGATTGCAGCACTATAGAAGTGGTAAGACTGTTAGTGATTGTTCTGAATGTGGGTTCAAAACCAAGTATGAAAGATCGATGATCCGTCACAAGCTCACTCAACACAACATTTTACCAGATGATTCAGTAAAAGTGTATTCCTGCAATGTATGCCAAAGGCCTTTTCTTTACAAATACTTTCTTTCAGTACACATGAGAAAGCACACTGGAGAACGCCTATTTGTATGTGAATACTGTGACAATTCTTTTCAGTATTTGAAGTGTTTAAAAGAACACAAGATTAGAGCTCACTTCAAACCTAAAACATTTATCTGCTCTCATTGTGGTATGAAGTTCTCAGACAAAGAATCGTTGGAAAAGCATTTCCCAAAACACTTCACATATAAATGCTCGAAATGCTCATTCAAAGCGACTCGGAAGGTTGACTTTGTAAAACACTGTCAGGACACTGCCTGTGAAGTTGTTAATACCTATTATTCTTGTTCCAGATGCCTCAAATCATTCGCTCATAATCGTTCCCTTACAAGACACTTGCAAAGAACTTGCAAGGAGGTACAGGTTAAATCAGAGATTGTAGATGAAGTTGATGTAAAGAAGCTTGTGAATAAGAGGAATAAAAAAGGGGAAGGAATTTGCAAAGAGACAAATACGATCGTTACTTGTGAGCACTGTAATGAACACTTCCCTTCTACCAAAGTTAAAAAACGTCATTTAAATTATTGCAAATTCAAGTAGCTGTAAACGTTAGTATTTGAATTCTCCAATTCCTACAGTTAATTTCTGTTTCATATAACCTTTAGAAGTTGATCAGTTTTATTTCGAAGAACTGTATTGATTATAATGCTACTCAGTAATTTTGTATGCTAACTTCACATCATACCGATTTGCCATCTTAAGCTCCGAAATAAAGTAGCAATCGACCATAATTTGTGTTACCTATGTATGGTACTCTGCCAATTGTATCACTTGATTTGATTTAATGTATTCATTTTATCTAATATTTTGGCAGCTACCTGCTTTATGATCTTGGTGCCTTTGATATTGCCCCCATTTTATCATAAGTCTTTGTTCTCAAGTCATTCCTCAAACTCCTTTTTTTATCGCAGGTATGAAATAAACATGATTAATGAGGATCAAACTAGTGAGAACAATATGGAAGTGAAAAATCAGTTGTTAAAACAGGAACAGATCAGTGATGAGGAAAGTGTTTCATATCATACAAACAGCTTTGAAAACTTGAAGAGTTTTACCATTCCTATTACATCTGCATCTGACCAAGAACTAGTTAACAACAAGGCTACCATAAAGTATGAACTTGAGTGTAAAACTGGTGTACAAAATATTCATGACATAATTATAATGACTGGTGGTGACAAAAATCAATGTGAAAACTTGGAGATAAAGGGGTCTCTTCAAACGATTGCATCAACTCATGATTTTAAATCCCCTGTAGGTTCTCTAGATGGAGCTGCTCTAATCAGTGGGCCCTCAGGGACTGGAGATTACTTTTACAAATGTAAGAAGTGTGCTTTCAAAACCATAACCTCCTGTCGTTTGAGAAATCATTACAAGAATGAGCACATTTTAGAACTTTACTCCTGTACTTTCTGCTATAAGGTCTGTCATCATTCTCGTGGTTTAAAGGATCACATGCAAATATACCATTCAGGAAATCACTCTACATTGAAATGCCGTAGATGTAAATTTGAAACAAAAAGTTGGCTGCAAATGAAAAAGCACATGAAATTGCAGCACTGTCATAGAAGTGGTAAGCCTGTCAGTGATTGTTCTGAATGTGGGTTCAAAACCAAGTATGAAAAATCGATGATCTACCACAAGCTCTGTAAACACAACATTTTACCAGATGATTCAGTAAAACTGTATTCCTGCAATGTATGCCAAAAGCCGTTTCTTTACAAATGCATTCTTTCAGTACACATGAGAAAGCACACTGGAGAACGCCTATTTGTATGTGAATACTGTGACCATTCTGTTCAACATTTGAGAACTTTAAAAGAACACAAGATTAGAGTTCACTTCAAACCTAAAACTTTTATCTGCTCTTATTGTAGAAAGAAGTTCTCAGACAAAGAATCATTGGAAAAGCATTTCTCAAAACACTTCAATTATAAATGCTCGAAATGCTCATTCAAAGCGACTCGGAAGGTTGACTTTGTAAAACACTGTCAAGACACTGCCTGTGAAGTTGTTAATACCTACTACTCTTGTTCCAGATGCCTCAAATCATTCACTTGTAATTCTTCCCTGAAAAGACACTTGCAAAGAACTTGCAAGGAGGTTGATATTAAAGTTAAAACAGAGATTGTAGATGAAGATCTATCTACAGTTGATGTAAAGAAGCTTGTGAATAAGAGGAATAAAAAAGGGGTAGGAATTTGTAAAGAGACAAAGAAGATCGCTACTTGTGAGCACTGTAATGAACACTTCCCTTCTACCAAAGTTAAAAAACGTCATTTAAATTATTGCAAATTCAAGTAACTTTAAACGTGAGTATTTGAATTCTCCAATTGCTGCAGTTAATTTCCGTTCCATATAACCATTAGAAGTTGATCAGTTTTATTTCGAAGAACTATATTGATTATATAATGCTACTCAGTAATTTTTTATGCTAAATTCAGATCATTCCGATTTGCCATCTTAGGCTCTGAAATAAAGTAGCAATAGACAATTTCTGTTACCTATGTATTGTACTCAGCTCTACCAATTGTATTACTTGATTTGATTGAATGTATTAATTTTATCTGATATTTTGGCTGCTACCCTCTTTATGATCCTGGTGCCTTTGATATTGCCCCCATTTTATCATAAGTCATTGTTCTCAAGTCATTCCTCAAACTCCTTTTTTTATCGCAGGTATGAAATAAACATGATTAATGAGGATCAAACTAGTGAGAACAATATGGAAGTGAAAAATCAGTTGTTAAAACAGGAACAGATCAGTGATGAGGAAAGTGTTTCATATCATACAAACAGCTTTGGAAACTTGAAGAGTTTTACCATTCCTATTACATCTGCATCTGACCAAGAACTAGTTAACAACAAGGCTGCCATAAAATATGAACTTGAGTGTAAAACTGGTGTACAAAATATTCAAGACATAATTATAATGACCGGTGGTGACAAAAACCGATGTGAAAACTTGGAGATAAAGGGGTCTCTTCAAACAATTGCATCAACTCATGATTTTAAATCCCCTGTAGGTTCTCCAGATGGAGCTGCTCTAACCAGTGGGCCCTCAGGGACTGGAGATTACTTTTACAAATGTAAGAAGTGTGCTTTCAAAACCATAACCTCCTGTCGTTTGAGAAATCATTACAAGAATGAGCACATTTTAGAACTTTACTCCTGTACTATCTGCCATAAGGTCTATCTTCATTCTCGTAGTTTAAAGGAACACATGCGAATATACCATTCAGGAAATTACTCTTCATTGAAATGCCGTAAATGTAAATTTGAAACAAAAAGTTGGCTGCAAATGAAAAAGCACATGAGATTGCAGCACTATAAAAGTGGTAAGACTGCCAGTGATTGTTCTGAATGTGGGTTCAAAACCAAGTATGAAAGATCGATGATCCGTCACAAGCTCAGTAAACACAACATTGTACCAGATGATTCAGTAAAACAGTATTCCTGCAATGTATGTCAAAGGCATTTTCTTTACAAATACTGTCTTTCATTACACACGAGAAAGCACACTGGAGAACGCCTATTTGTATGTGAATACTGTGACAGTTCTTTTCAGTATTTGAAGGGTTTAAAAGAACACAAGATTAGAGTTCACTTCAAACCTAAAACATTTATCTGCTCTCATTGTAGAATGAAGTTCTCAGACAAAGAATCGTTGGAAAAGCATTTACCAAAACACTTCACATATAAATGCTCGAAATGCTCATTCAAAGCGACTCGGAAGGTTGACTTTGTAAAACACTGTCAGGACACTGCCTGTGAAGTTGTTAATACCTATTACTCTTGTTCCAGATGCCTCAAAACATTCGCTTATAATCGTTCCCTTACAAAACACTTGCAAAAAACTTGCAAGGAGGTTGATATTGAAGTTAAATCAGAGATTGTAGATGAAGATATATCTACAGTTGATATAAAGAAGCTTGTGAATAAGAGGAATAGAAAAGGGGAAAGAACTTGCAAAGATACAAAGACGATCGTTACTTGTGAGCACTGTAATGAACACTTCCCTTCTACCAAAGTTAAAAAACGTCATTTAAATTATTGCAAATTTAAGTAGCTTTAAACGTTGGTATTTGAATTCTCCAATTCTTACATTTAATTTCCGTTCCATATAACCATTAGAAGTTGATCAGTTTTATTTCGAAGAACTGTATTGATTATGTAATGCTTCTCAGTAATTTTGTATGCTAAATTCACATCATTCCGATTTGCCATCTTAGGCTCAGAAATAATTTCGTGATCGTACCAAGTTTATACTTTTATAGAAGCTCGGAAATTTGCTCATCATCATAATTTGTCAACTCCCTCAGGTAGAATGGTTCTATTAACATTGTTAGCCAGAGTCACTGATGGATTACCTTTGAGTGCCTCTATTGATAACAGTAATGAAGTAAGTGGACACATTATTGCAGTACTTATCATTTCACAGCTCGCAGTGTACAGCAGGGTGTCATAATTATTGGCGCGTAGACAATTTTGCAAAAATTTTAGCTTACCCAAGCTTTTAGAAACGATCATTACTTAACTTCTGAGGGTCAGTTTCCTATGGAGTCTTGATCTTTCGAGAGATAATCCTTCGTACTACAGTTCTGTCTAAAAACGAAGTCCGAAGGAAGTTAAATTTCGTCGATAATCACGACGGAAGGGAAAAATATTGATTTTGTCATAAAATACACATAAAAATTTCAAACACGCCAATAATTCTGACACCCTGCTGTACCTTTTAACTGCACAGTGCTATTAAGGCCACAGGGGGGGGTCCGAGGTCGAAAAAACGTTTTTTGCCAGTTGGCAGACCACGTACTATCTGACGCTTGCACACCACCCTTAGCCCCCCAGAGCGCCTAGTTTGTCGTAAAATTGAGGTTAACTATTGCCTTTTTAATCAGTTAACCTCACAAATAACCAGTTCTTAACATTTTGTTGCTCTCATCACAAGTTAAACTTATCAATGGGTATCAATTGGCCATCCAATGTGAACAGAACTATTATATGTCCTTTATTTGTTGGAAAATTGAGGTTAACATATTTTCTCAGAATCAGTCTTTTGACTCTCCTGAACATTTTATTTACCACCTCAAAAACCTATCTTCTCCTAGAGCTTTTATCCATTTCACCTCAAATTTGGAACTTATGTTCCTGACATAAATTTAAAAGTTTGTTATGTAACGATTGTTGTAATTTTGCTCCTAACTCTTTTTATGAGGTTAACCATTTTAAATTTTGTAACCCGCACTCATGGTTAACCTCATATCTCAGCTTTGGAGCAAGATATCATAAATCGTTACATAACAAAAACTCAAAATACCTTGAAGAACATTGTTGCCAAGTTACAAGGTTCTAAGTCATAAACTGAAAAAGAAGATAGATTTTGAACACAATTTCATTTAAAGTTTTCATTTACAATAGAATTACAGGTAAACCTCAAAATTCAACGCGCGATATCTTAAAATAGGAAACTTTGTTTTCGGTAAGGACAAAAGCATTTGAAAATTTAGATCGAGCTCTACAACATATCTCAAAATCTCAAAATTGACCTCGGACCCCCCCCCCCCCCCCCCCCCCCCCCCCCTGTGGCCTTAAGGGTAATATTGAGAACTGTGTACGCTGTGAAGTAAATTTATCATAATTTTCATTTAAGCTTGAACAAGATACACATAAAGAATATTATATAGATCTGAATATTGGTGTGGGGACACGTGACAGAGATTGACCAATCAGTTTCCGGTATTGACCAATCAAAATCAAAAATCACAATCAAGTTTTTTAAAAAATTCAAAAAAAAATTACACATGATACTTGGTACACACGATCGTAGAGTGATAACAGTACAAATTATAACTTGTTTACTTTCGGGCCTTTGTTCACAGATTGAAGACGGATTTCCAAATCATATTTCACAGCTATTTATAACTACTTTAACATTCCTTGTTTCTAGCCCACCTTTATTGTAACCAATAGTCTGTACAATTATGCGCGAACTGTGTATGAAACACAGTGTTCCCTACACCACTAGTGCAGTACCCTGTTTTTCTGTGTTGAGCCATACAATAAAATCAGTAAACATTTTATTTTACCGAAATTGTGGTATTGTATGATTAGAGATAAGTAAACGCTTTTCCAACTATATTATTTATAAGCATATTATATGGACTCAACAGTGCCCTAAAAAAGAGAAAAAGTGCCTTAACTTTTTAATTTCTTCAGAAAGAGCAGAACCTCCAAGTTTACCAGAACCAAGCAAAACAGCTGTTCAGAAAACTCTCCCCTAATTCCCCCTCTAGATGTACACTGGAAAGTGGACCAATGTTAATACACTATCAGATAGAACAAGGTCAGTATTTTTATATTTCATCTTAATAAATGTGTTTTCTTAAAGGGTGATTTAAATGTATATCAGATCAAATTTGTATCTATTTATCAGTAAAACCAAGTTCTTTGATTTACCGCATTTACCGCATCTCTTAACTTTCCCCAACGTTACTAAATTGGTAATCCTTTCCCTCAGGAGTGTGTTTTCTAATTATTTGTCAGAGTAACTTCTCGAAGAAGCTAGCATTTAATTACTTAGCTGAGTTGGCACAGAGTTTCCTGGAACGATATGCTGCTCAGATAGGACAAGCATCCCGACCTTACACTTTTATCGAATTTGGTATGTTATCTCTTATCAAGATATCTTATCAGTAATATAAAGTTCATACTAAAAATAGAAGTATAGGTATAATCCTCCGATTAAATTTTGATTTAGGTTGTAGTCCGCCATCTTAAATTAACTCTAGTGCTTAGTCTAATATTCTAAGTACATATTATTATAATGAGCGCATATTCTAATGAACAGTGAAAATTATTAAAAATCTGTACTTCCAATTAATTAAATCATAATTTGAATATAATGCAAATAAACATAATGTATACTAAATACACTTTGCTTTACTACACCGTTAAATCTCACTGTACACGTTTTCAGAGACCACCATTAGGAAGTTAATGAAATCCTACACGGACAGCAGATCGCCCAAACAGCTCAGTAAAATAAACAACGAGTTAGCGGATGTACAGAGGATAATGGTACAGAACATCGAGGATGTGATACAGCGCGGTGAAAATCTTAGTGGTAAGTTTGGGTGGGGGGGCCTAAGTTTATAGGTTGTTTTAAATTAAGCAATTAATATACATAGGCACTCTGTTCCTGATTAAAATATGTTTTGTTTTCAGCAATTATGTTTGAAGAGGAAGCAAACACTTGAAAGTCAGGGCTTTGCTATGAGAAAAGTTGTAGAAGAGGAATACATACAATTAATATCACTCACAAAAACAAAATATAAAAAGTCATATAATTTGTTGTCGGTCTGATCGAATAATAGCCAGTATTATAAAAGCCAGTATTATATCAGCCAGTGTTATAACAGCCAGTGTTATAACAGCCAGTATTATAACAGCCAGTATTATAACAGCCGGTATCAGCCAGTAATCTAGGTCTACCCACAGTGTATTTTAGTGGATTTTCATTCTCTCAGCTCCATGTGCAGGCAGAGTCAGAGCATTAGGTCCGTGGAAATATTGTTGGAGTCTGACGAACAGATAGGATCTTCTTTGGGTTGTAGATGTTTCGAAGAAGTTTGGCAGGGGCATGGTGTAATCATCTGGCTCGGTTAACCTGTTAAATAATAGTTTACCTTTACAGAGAGACTAGAAACATATTAATTTGCACTAAGTTTGTGTCTCTAATCTATGTATATTATACAGATTGGGAAGTAGTGAGCTGTTCCAGCTTACCTCCATATGACCACAGCCAAAACACATATGACAATAGCAAGAATTAAGGAATGGGCTGCATTCCTTACTGCCATGTTATTTGCTTTGATAATTATCGGCTTCACGTAGTGTCTATAAGAATATTGCATCCGGAAGTTCATCATCTCGTGACTCATGGTGTATGAGTCATCATGATTCAGTACTTCGTATTTTTCTGACATCTCTCCTGAAAGGTTGTATACTCCTAGTCTTATTTTAGCCTTAAGACGATTTAACTGGGCAAACGTATAATATCATAAATAAACAAAAAATTCACAATTTTACGTTTTATTTCCAATAGTGCCAGAGATATGATAGTTTAATCAAAAACTTACTGTCCCATTTGGCGAAAGCATCATATAGTTCAACAGTCAATCCCTCGTCTCTGTGTTTGATAAATAATTCTAGCAAACATGTATGTCTCTTCATGTTACTGCGATCGTTTATCCTACACGCTTTCTTTATAAGCTCATTAAACTCTTCGTATGGCATCTTCTCTAATTCTGAAGCATCAATTGATTTTCAGTCAAATGAGTATATTTTAAAGTGTGTAATAAATGTCAGAATTTATATATCTGCTTTTCAGTAAAACGATATAATCTTATATTTTATAATGCATGTAAGCATAAACATAAAGTAAAATGTTGTGATATGTTGAAGTAAGCTTTAACCTTGATGTTCAGATAATTGGATGATGCCAAGTTTGCTGAGAGTAACAAGTGTTGTTGCAAAAAAACACCATATTACTGCAAATGTCGTTATTTTCATGGTTTTTCAAATTTAAATTTGTCAAAAAGTGAAAAGTAAAGGTACGATTAAGCAACGAAAGAGAATGAAGAATTTTTAAAATTTATAAAAACTGCAGCTGGCTACTTGACGATTTCTGCTTGCTCCTTCCTAAATTTGTTTGCTAATTCGAGAGTTTCATCGTTTATCACCGGACGCCTCTTCAATCTCAACTGGCAATAATGGCATCCTAGCTTGACCGATCCCACGTCATCTTATATATGAGTATTGCTGAAAGCACAGTGTAAGGCCTACACGGACCGCCTCTAACTAGCCAATCCCTGTTATAACTTATATGGTGTGAATTGCGCACTGATCTTGACCGCGGAGATTATCAGGCAACCTTACTTGCCTGACGGCTATTCTTGAATTTTCTCTGCCATCCAGTTGCTTTCCTCTTCATCGTGGCACCAGAATTTGTTTCGTTCTTGCTTTGCTTGGGACCTGATCCCTGTCTTTAAAGCGCCACAATACTAGCGAACATCGTCTATTTTATCTTAAACATCGCGCTTTGGAGGCAATTTATATACGCGCATTGCTGAGCGCGCACGCATTTTGCAGCATCATTATTAATGTCGTGGCAAATTTGAGTGATAGGGGCGGTGCACTGTGCAAAGACAGAGTAAATTCTTTGAATACCAATTGCTCTCACTAATAATGTAATAACTACCCTGATTCATGGAATACACCCCTGTAACGTGGATTACCTTACATATCACCAGCCACGTTGCTTAACCTACTTAAGCCATGCTGCGATTAAGATTGAAGCCCCTGCTGACTAGTGACTGCTCCTGGGTCCAAAAGCGGTAGATTCGGATGCAAGACACTTCCTATATTCGGGGATGGGAATTGAGTTTCTCCTGCCATGGCAGTTAATGAAAATTGAAATTTTATATAACTTTGACGGCTTTTTAATTTCATTTCAGACAACCATTTCTATATTATATTCGATGAAACTGGCAAATTATAATAATGTGCCAAACACTGATTCCACAAGTCAAAACGTTTCATAATTCTTGCAATTTTAATATTAATTTACTTTCAGTTTTGGATAACAAAGCCAACAATCTGTCGATGATGTCCCGGCAGTACAAGAAAGAATCACACCAACTGAACATAAATGCCCAACAATGGAAATACATCGCAGCAGGAGTGGGGCTTGTCTTACTGTTCCTCTTCCTTAGATACTGGGTTTTTTAAGGGAACGATCTTTAGCTTTAGAAGCATAGTTGGTAAATTTTTCATGGGTCCACAACTTTTAATTCTAGAAAGTAAGTTGAATAGAAAAAAAGAGTTTTTAATGAGGCGAATTAAAGTCAAACTGTTAACTTATCTTTCTCTCGCGAACAAGACTGTTGTTAGTTTATTGAATTTCCGAATTTATAGGCCCTTTTTAATCAGAAATTTCTCACACAATGATCAACCAAAATAATTAACGTTTAACATATCTAATGCATTTTGGGTATTAATAATTTGAAATATCTTCTGGCCTCTAATTATCAACTTAATCAGGCCAGAAAATGAGAAAATGATCGGTCAAAGTTTTACTAGTACTGCACATAATTGTCAGTCTGTTTTCACGAGTCACAACATCTCCAAGCGGAGAGTTATGTTTCGTTTTTTATTATATTGGATATCAAGCTGAGCCAGAGCCCCTTAAAGAGTATGAAGTATCAGCCCTGAAATTCGTTATTAAGAGGAATAATCTATTCAGTTTTGTATAACTATATCTTACAAAACAACAAGAGATTGTTTAAGATATAAAAGTTGATTTTGTCAGAGATTCGTGATAATATAAAATAACCTTTTGATATTGAATGAGAATGTTTGTTTGACAATATATGATACATTGTTCGATGTTTAAAGTTGATAATGTATAATGAATAATCTTTAACACTGCAACATTTCATACAATTTTGTTACATATTAATTTCTAAGCATCAAATTCGTAAATTTCGATGGAAACAAAAAAAATAATTAAAAAGGTGAAAAATATTATTGTTAATTAATTATGAATTATCACAGATAATTCGATTAAAAGACATATTGAAATCCCGCAGTATGACTGTTATATATCATATAAATATGTTATATATCATATAAATGCTTTATACTATTTTCGCTTAGATACTACTTTCGCGTCATTCAATATCTTTATAGATCATCTGATCCGAGTCCTTCGTTCCAATCTGCCGGATTTTTCTCTGAATCATCATTTTCTTGTTCTTGCGATTGATCATTTCCTTCTCCGTTCCACTCATCTGAACTTCCCTCGGATTCATCATTTTCTTGTCTATTTGACTCCCACAAATGATCATGTGATTCATCAGCTCCGTGTTCATTCGACTCTTGGTGGTCTTCTGATTCATCAGCTCCGTGTTCATTCGACTCTTGGTAGTCCTCTGATTCACCAATTGACTCCTGTTGGTCCTCTGATTCATCAGCTCCGTGTTCATTTGACTCCTGTTGGTCCTCTGATTCATCAGCTCCGTAATCATTTAACTTATGGTGGTCTTCTGATTCATCAGCTCCGTGTTCATTCGACTCTTGGTAGTCCTCTGATTCATCAGCTCCGTGTTCATTCGACTCTTGGTGGTCCTCTGATTCATCAGCTCCGTGTTTATTCGAGTCTTGGTGGTCCTCTGATTCATCAGCTCCGAGAATATTTGACTCTCCACTATGTTCTTGTTCCTCTGATTGCTCTATTTCAGTGGAAGATGGTGAACTCGTAATGGGAGATGAGCTAGAGTTGCCACTAGTATGGTTGAAATCTTGGTGGTCCTCTGATTCATCATTTCCGTAATCATTTGACTCCTGGTGGTCCTCTGATTCATCAGCTCCGTAATCATTTGACTCCTGGTGGTCCTCTGATTCGTCAGCTCCGTAATCATTTGACTTCTGGTGGTCCTCTGATTCATCAGCTTCGAGAATGTTTGACTCTCCACTATGATCTTGTTCCTCTGATTGCTCTATTTCAGTGGAAGATGGTGAACTCGTAATGGGAGATGAGCTAGAGTTGCCACTAGTATGGTTGAAATCTTGGTGGTCCTCTGATTCATCAGCTCCGTGTTCATTCGAGTCTTGGTGGTCCTCTGATTCATCAGCTCCGAGAATGTTCGACTCTCCACTATGTTCTTGTTCCTCTGATTGCTCTATTTCAGTGGAAGATGGTGAACTCGTAATGGGAGATGAGCTAGAGTTGCCACTAGTATGGTTGAAATCTTGGTGGTCCTCTGATTTATCATTTCCGTAATCATTCGACTCCTGGTGGTCCTCTGATTCATCAGCTCCGTGTTCATTTGACTCCTGGTGGTCCTCTGATTCATCAGCTCCGTGTTCATTCGACTCTTGGTGGTCCTCTGATTCATCAGCTCCGAGAATGTTTGAATCTCCACTATGTTCTTGTTCCTCTGATTGCTCTATTTCAGTGGAAGATGGTGAACTCGTAATGGGGGATGAGCTAGAGTTGCCACTAGTATGGTTGACATTTTGTACAGATTTTGAAAAGTCAGAACTCGATCGCTCAACGCTAGGAGATGTTGGAAATTCAGAGCTTGATAGCGAGTCTGCGGTCACAGAAGACGAAGAGGAACTTGAACTGGAAGATGAGCTAGAGTGGTCGACAGTTTGGGGCTCTCTGTTTGCTGTTTTTGAGTAGTCAGAACTTGATTGCTCAGTGTTCGCAGATTTAGAAAAGTTAGAACTTGATCGTTCATTTTCTGAAGTCGATGAGGAACTTGAACTGGAAGATGAGCTAGAGTGGTCGACAGTTTGGGGCTCTCTGATTTCAGATTTTGAGTAGTCAGAAGTTGATTGCTCAGTGTTCGCAGATTTAGAAAAGTTAGAACTTGATCGTTCATTTTCCGAAGTCGATGAGGAACTTGAACTGGAAGATGAGCTAGAGTGGTCGACAGTTTGGGGCTCTCTGTTTGCAGATTTTGAGTAGTCAGAAGTTGATTGCTCAGTGTTCGCAGATTTAGAAAAGTTAGAACTTGATCGTTCATTTTCCGAAGTCGATGAGGAACTTGGACTGGAAGATGAGCTAGAGTGGTCGACAGTTTGGGGCTCTCTGTTTTCAGATTTTGAGTATTCAGAAGTTGATTGCTCAGTGTTCGCAGATTTAGAAAAGTTAGAACTTGATCGTTCATTTTCTGAGGTCGATGAGGAACTTGATGATGAGCTTGAGGAGGTGGCGGTTTGTTCCTCATCGCGTTCAGATTTTGAAAAATTTAAAGTTGATTGCTCACTAGTCACAGGCTTAGAAACATCGGAACTTGATCGTTCATTTTCTGAGGTCGATGAGGAACTTGAATTTGATGATGAGCTTAAGGGGGTTACAGTTTGTTCCTCATCGTGTTCAGATTTCGAGAAGTCAGAACTTGTCTGCGAACTTCTATTTTGTCCGTTTCTTGAAAACGATGGAGAACTTTTAGTGGAAGATGAGCTAGAACTTGAGCTAGAACTCGAATGCTCGCTATTCTGAGGTTCCGAATAATCAGAACTTGATTGTGAATAGTTTCCTGAGACTGACGGAGGACTAGCGGAGGAAGAAGAGCTATGATGTTCGCTGTGTGAGTGGTGCTCACTCTCCCTATGTTGTTCTGTAACAAACTCTTCTCCCTCTTTTTGCTGTACAGGTTCAATACTTCGTGAAGACTCATTCTTATCGAATTCAGAATCGTCCATGTCAGCTCTCGGTTCCGTCGGCCTGGCATGTAAAGTCGACACAATCACCAGCAATATAAATAATCCGTTCTTCATATCCTGGAAACAAGGTTATTTCATTAAGACGATGGAAAGTAGACTATGATGTTATTATATTCAATTATATATACTAAACTTCTAAATAACAGATAGTGTAAACACAACGCTGCTATCTAATCTTTCTCTAAAGAAACAGAATTATTAAACTTGCATTCTGCGCTAATTTGCTTTGTCAAAAGAAATATTATAATTTAAATTATATCTACCTTAGTTCCCAAAAATTTGTGTGCTAAAATTTTGGGCTCGATAAATTTGAGTACAAAAATTTGGGCAAAAAAATTGAACCTATTTGGGCAACCAAAAATTTGGTTAACGAAAAATTTGGGCGTGTCTTTCGAGCACAAAATAAAAGGATGACACATTTTTTCTGTAAGCTTGTCTGTCACCAAGATGCAGTTAGGCCTAACCAGTTAGGCCTAACGCAGAGTTAGGCCTAAATTAGGCGTTAGGCCTAACTGCATCTTGATGGCAGGTACTGTAAAAATATACTAGCTTGTTGAGGATTACATGCGATGAGCTATTTTTTAACTATATATCACAAGATCCATTCATGTCCTAACATTCCCTACTCAAAGTCAATATCCCATTCATTGTAACTCTGTAATTGATAAGCTAACAAGGAACGCGAAACGTTGTGAACAATGTTGCGTTATCCAGCTATTGTCGTGCGAAGTACCTACTGCTTCACACGTCACGAGGCAGCAGTGGTTCACTGTTGCAGCATTTATACAGATTGGCGTTAGAAATTACCCCCGGGTATTTATAATTCAAAATCGTTCTTAACATTAAATGACGCCTGTGTACAACATACAACTTCTCTTATAATCAATTAATGGTGTTAATCATAACAATGTACGGTGTTGTGTAAAAAGTCCGTATCGAGGCATTATTTTAAAGATCATTCATTACACAATGCAACGGTCGTACTGCATTTGTCATGTTGTTTGCTCATCGAATTACCATCCATTAAAATTCTAAGCTCTGGAACTTGAGAGATGTGCAATATCAAACTGTGTTAAACAATGATTCTTGCTAAGTATGCAGCACGCAACAAGTAATTAAAGTGTGTCAAATGGTCAAACTCCGATATTATCAGCACATGTCATGTGTTGCCAAGATTTGCTGGAATCTCTAAGCGTAAGTTATGCGGAGTGATTCCTTCGCAAAGTTATTTCGCAATCTCGTCAAAAGATGTAGTTTAGGTTATAGCGGGCTGACCGCGCGTCGCGTAACTTAGCTCTGCGCGCAGGTCAAACAGCTAAGCTAAAAGGGTTGCATACTTAATTGATCTGTTTTCAGTTACATTTTTAATTGCAAACGAACCATTTCTGTATCAAATTAAGGCTCACGACAACCGTTCAGCTTGTCTGTTGTCATTCACATCAATTTGGGCAAGTTAATGAGTAAAGGCGGGCTTTATTAAGCCTCTTTATTGCCATAGCAACCAAACGGAAATTCAAAGTTTATTACAATATTGTTTTCGCGCCGTACAGATAGTATGTTGTACACTGTGACCGATCCATTAGATTTCTAAAACAGTTTTTTAAAATCTCTGTGAGAGTACCCAATTTCGCAATGTCGGTTAATCCGAACATCATTTGATCAATTCTACCAAAGGAATTTGTACCAACAACAAAGATACTATATAACCGTTCTAAATCCATCCAAATTATCATTGATTGCATTACCGGTTCGAGGAAGAAAAAAATGTAATTACCTATAATTGAATTTTCGTCTTCTCACTTTAATAATATTGTGTACTCATGAACCCAACAGCTGTTGTTATTGATTCCCACCTGTAATCACATGGCTTGTCAACTGATACCATAATCTAGGAGACTAAGCTTAGAAATACACCTAAATTGTTAAATTGTTTGAAAAGCAAGAAATGACATTCAAGAAATATGTCCAGCATATTTTATTGATTTGATTTGATTTAATCGTTCGAAACACAAAGTTAATGATTTTGCTAAAAGTAAAACAAAATTTGACAATGTGCATTCTACACAAATATCTTCTGTTGTCCAAAAATGTCATATCAAATTTAATATTTCGACTGCGTCAGAAAGATGTGCAACATCAAAATTCAGATGTTCTAACTTCTATCAAAGATTTCATCTTGCGGTACTCTCAACGGGCATTTGTAAAAATGTATCAGCTTTTCTACAATAAACACGTGTATACCAATACATTGTACACAATAATGGTGGCAGTTATGTTGTACATAATATGCACTAAACTATTCAAACTTCACAGAAACCAACAAACACACCATTAAGGTTCAGCGAATGACTTTTCGCTCATCGCAAAGTTAAAAAAAGGAATGATCCCGATAGAAAGTGTCTCATGATCCTGAACTTCCGGAATAACCAACATGTCATAATAAATTCAGATGAGATTAACGACTTCAGTAATAATTTAATATTTTCAATTCTTTCTGAAAAACTGGAACTGTTCCAAACAACAAAAATCGTTCATTCTTGTTTAATGAAGACTCTGGGTCGGGAAAATATCTTGATAGCATCGTCAATTTCGCCGATTTTAGATTCCAGTTGGTTGCGCGTGTTGTGACGGCGGAGTGTGTCGTTCCTCAGGGGCATGTTCTGTAATTGTAGCAACAGCTTCTCTCGACCTAAACAAGAGGACAGATTAGAGTTATTAGAGGGACCTTCATAGGGCACATCCTTCAAAATAATTAAGTTTGCATTGACTCGGCTACAAGATAGACTCGGCTGAGATGTAAAAGACTCAAACTCTAGATTCAGGAAATGAGATAACAAGGATACCTTACAAACACAGGTATAATGAGGAAGGAGTAATCATCCGCCAATTATCAAATTACGATCGTAATCTTGTGGGTACTGTATAATCACATTACATTTCAGCAATCTTACTTTTAGTGAGAACAGCGAGAGTTTCGTCCTTCTCCTTGGGATCCATAACCACATGACCATCAGGCACAGTGGGGTCAGGGAGATTAGCTATTCTTTCTATTTCTTCTTCCTTCCACTGCGATACTCGCTCCTTTAAACTGAAGATTATTTGGTTAATTAATTGATTTGTGATTTCAGTTTATGAACCACAAAATTATCCAAATATAATATTATAACCAACTGCAACCAGTGTATAATATTAACGGAAACAAAACGTCTTTCAAATCCAAATTTTCAGGTAGTAGTTATTTGTGAACTGACCAGAAGCTTCTCTGATGCTACAAAAAATAAATAAATAAATTCTAACATTTATTACAGGCTTTGACATTACAAATATACCCAAAGAAGATGTGCATTAAAGTAATCCAAGTGACTAAGCGAGACTTAGTATGGAAATAATAAAATTATGCACTTTAAAATCAGTTTAGAGTTTATGGACAAATATCAAGAATATCATCAAAAAGTAAGCGGAAATAAATTATTTTAATGGAACTTTCAGGGAAATGCTATGTTCATTATTTGCAATCAGTTTAGTGAGGTTTCTTGTAGCCACATCATAATATGTTATGATGAAATACAGACTCATGTTTAATATCCATCACGCTTCATTTCCATCTCATTTTCCTGACTAACGTAAAATAGGTTGTGTCTCTACAATGTCACACTATTGTGGCATATATGACTATAATATAACTGCAGATAAATAATATTATCTCTTGAATAATATAATTACTGTCACCATGAGACTGAAAAGTAGACAGCTAGTATTTACTATTTAGTAGTAGATAACCTTCATATTCTCATTAGTCATCACAAACTCAAAATTATCCGCTGAGCCATTAGGTCCGTGAAGAATCACACGTTCAGGCCAACATACCATTTTCAGCCATATTCCACGTGACTTAACACGTGATAGAGGGACTAGCTTCTCCTTTTAAAGTTTTAAACTTATTTGTTCAGTTAATTAGAGGTTTAGCGAAAAGTTAAAGAGTTGAACAAAAGTAAAAATATAACTCCACAACTCATATTATAATGAGCTCTAAAGTATTCCTTACATCTACATTATATTAATCTAATAGCTAATGAGCACTGCAGTTAATATGAAGTTTTTATATGTATCCGCTTCCCAAATTATAGGCCGTAAAAACAGGGAAACTCTATTTTGAAGTCTTGTTCGTCTTAATTATCTTCCAAATGGAACGATATTTTGCCTCAAGGTTCATCTACAATATCAAAGACCGATCAGAAGACCTATTTCCCTACTACAAGAGAGCACATATCCTTCCTCTTGACCAAAGGATTTTCTTTAAAGTCTGCCAGTTAACTTATTAAGCTGTGCATGGGATTGCACCGGCCTACATACAGAATCTTGTAGTGATTGAAAACCCATTGATAATAGCTAGTACAAGATCAAAAGTAGAAGGAGATTGTTACAGACTAAAGACTCCTAAAACTACAAATAGTAAGATTGATCAACGTCGATTCACCAACTACGCACCAACTACATGGAACTCACTTCCCTGGGAGATACGATCACTACGCAACATTATAGACAGTTTCAAAGGTAGCCTTAAACATTATTTATATGGCCGTATGTGATTAGTGCTGTTTTTTTTTCTTTGTTCTTATGATTTGTTTGAGGGTGTATCTTTATTTTTTAGTGCAAAGTGTATAATTATATTAATAAACCTTCCTATGATTCCTATAAGTATATTATGTTACTTTTGAAGTGTTTTCTGGTGGTTTATTGTTAATCGTAGTGTGGTATATATCAATAAATCTTCCTATGATTACTATATGATATATTTAAAGTTTTAATTTTTCCTAAATAGATTCGTTTTTGAGATGATTTAGTTGTTTGTTGCTGGATATTTTCACCTCACCCTTTAGCACCGCTCTGACATGGTTAGTACCTGGCACTTGTGTCAGTTGCTAACCATATGGGCGGTATACAAGCAAATTATTTCATTTCATTTCATATTGAATGAGAATGTTTGTTTGACAATATATGATACATTGTTCGATGTTTAAAGTTGATAATGTATAATCTTTAACACTGCAATAAAATTTTGTTACATATTAATTTCTAAGCATCAAATTCGTAAATTTCGATAGAAACAAAAAAAAAGATTAAAATGTGACAAATATCATTGTTAATTAATTATGAAAATCACAGATAATTCGATTAAAAGACATATTGAAATCCCGCAGTATGACTGTTAAACAAGGAACTGAAACCGAGGGGTTTCGTTCAGGCCCTTCACATTGTGTTTCTGTCTAGTTCTAATGTACCGTCACAATAGTGACTTTAATATATCATATAAATGCTTTATACTATTTTCGCTAAGATACTATTTTCGCGTCATTCAATATCTTTATCTATGTTTATAGATAGTTCCAATCTGCCGGATTTTTCTCTGATTCATCATTTCCGTAATCATTTGACTCCTGTTGGTTCTCTGATTCACCAGCTCTGTAATCATTTAACTCATGGTGGTCTTCTGATTCATCAGCTCCGTGTTCATTCGATTCTTGGTAGTCCTCTGATTCATCATTTCCGTAATCATTTGAATCCTGTTGGTCCTCTGATTCATCAGCTCCGTGTTCATTTGACTCCTGTTGGTTCTCTGATTCATCAGCTCCGTAATCATTTAACTCATGGTGGTCTTCTGATTCATCAGCTCCGTGTTCATTCGACTCTTGGTGGTCCTCTGATTCATCAGCGCCGCGAATGTTTGACTCTCCACTAAGTTCTTGTTCCTCTGATTGCTCTATTTCAGTGGAAGATGGTGAACTCGTAATGGGAGATGAGCTAGAGTTGCCATTAGTATGGTTGACATCTTGGTGGTCCTCTGATTCATCAGCGCCGCGAATGTTTGACTCTCCACTATGTTCTTGTTCCTCTAATTGCTCTATTTCAGTGGAAGATTCTACGTTCCACTCTTCTGAACTTCCCTCGGATTCATAATTTTCTTGTCCATTTGACTCCCACAAATGTTCATGTGATTCATCATTTCCGTGTTCATTTGACTCCTGATGGTCCTCTGATTCATCAGCTCCGTGTTCATTCGACTCTTGGTGGTCCTCTGATTCATCAGCTCCGTGTTCATTCGAATCTTGGTCCTCTGATTCATTAGCTCCGTGTTCATTCGACTCTTGGTGGTCCTCTGATTCATCATTTCCGTGTTCATTCGACTCTTGGTGGTCCTCTGATTCATCAGCTCTGAGCTTGTTTGAATCTCCACTATGTTCTTGTTCTTGTTCCCCTGATTGCTCTATTTCAGTGGAAGATGGTGAACTCGTAATGGGAGATGAGCTAGAGTTGCCATTAGTATGGTTGACATCTTGGTGGTCCTCTGATTCATCAGCGCCGCGAATGTTTGACTCTCCACTATGTTCTTGTTCCTCTAATTGCTCTATTTCAGTGGAAGATTCTACGTTCCACTCTTCTGAACTTCCCTCGGATTCATAATTTTCTTGTCCATATGACTCCCACAAATGTTCATGTGATTCATCATTTCCGTGTTCATTTGACTCCTGATGGTCCTCTGATTCATCAGCTCCGTGTTCATTCGACTCTTGGTGGTCCTCTGATTCATCAGCTCCGTGTTCATTCGAATCTTGGTCCTCTGATTCATTAGCTCCGTGTTCATTCGACTCTTGGTGGTCCTCTGATTCATCATTTCCGTGTTCATTCGACTCTTGGTGGTCCTCTGATTCATCAGCTCTGAGCTTGTTTGAATCTCCACTATGTTCTTGTTCATGTTCCTCTGATTGCTCTATTTCAGTGGAAGATGGTGAACTCGTTATGGGAAATGAGCTAAAGTTGTCACTAGTAATAGTATGGTTGACATTTTGTACAGATTTCGAAAAGCCAGAACTTGATCGCTCAATGCTAGGAGATGTTGGAAATTCAGAGCTCGATTGCGAGTCTGCGGTCACAGGAGACGAAGAGGAACTTGAACTGGAAGATGAGCTAGAGTGGTCGACAGTTTGGGGCTCTCTGTTTGCAGATTTTGAGTAGTCAGAAGTTGATTGCTCAGTGTTCGCAGATTTAGAAAAGTTAGAACTTGATCGTTCATTTTCCGAAGTCGATGAGGAACTTGAACTGGAAGATGAGCTAGAGTGGTCGACAGTTTGGGGCTCTCTGTTTGCAGATTTTGAGTAGTCAGAAGTTGATTGCTCAGTGTTTGCAGATTTAGAAAAGTTAGAACTCGATCGCTCAACGCTAGGAGATGTTGGAAATTCAGAACTTGATCGTTCATTTTCCGAAGTCGATGAGGAACTTGAACTGGAAGATGAGCTAGAGTGGTCGACAGTTTGGGGCTCTCTGTTTGCAGATTTTGAGTAGTCAGAAGTTGATTGCTCAGTGTTCGCAGATTTAGAAAAGTTAGAACTTGATCGTTCATTTTCCGAAGTCGATGAGTAACTTGATGATGAGCTTGAGGGGGTGGCGGTTTGTTCCTCATCGCGTTCAGATTTCGAGAAGTCAGAACTTGTCTGCGAACTTCTATTTTGTTCGTTTCTTGAAAACGATGGAGAACTTTTAGTGGAAGATGAGCTAGAACTTGAGCTAGAACTTGAATGCTCGCTATTCTGAGGTTTCGAATAATCATAACTTGATTGTGAATAGTTTCCTGAGATTGACGGAGGACTAGCGGAGGAAGAAGAGCTATGATGTTCGCTGTGTGAGTGGTGCTCACTCTCCCAATGTTGTTCTGTAACAAACTCTTCTCCCTCTTTTTGCTGTGCAGGTTCAATACTTTGTGAAGGCTCATTCTTATCGAATTCAGAATCGTCCATGTCAGCTCTCGATTCCGTTGGCCTGGCATGTAAAGTCGACACAATCACCAGCATGAGCAATATAAATAATCCGTTCTTCATATCCTGGAAACAAGGTTAATTCATTGAGACGATGGAAAGTAAACTATGCTATTATTATAATCAATTATATATATTAAAGTTCTAAATAACAGATAGTGTAAACTCAACGCTGCTATCTAATCTTTCTTTAAAGAAACAGAATTATTAAACTTGCATTCTGCGCCAAATTGCTCTGTCAAAAGCAATATTCCTTTAAGATAATTTAAATCATATTGTTATATACCGTATATTTTTAAGAAATAAATTCCGGCAACTTAGGTCGCGCTTTATCAACGAGAACAGGTTTGACTGAGGTCGTTCAACTCTCCCTGGCATCTACAAACTATTAACAGCAAACACCAAGGAGGTATAGGCAGGACGGAGGACCATTATCTGGACCTCTCAGCACACGACCAAGCATTCTCTATCGACTTTTCTCCACTCTAGCCGATATAGATAGTGGTTCACTCTTGCAGCGTTTATACAGATTGGCGTTCGAAATAACCCCCGGGTATTTATAATTCAAAATCGTTCTTAAATGACGCCTGTGTACAACATCCAACTTCTCTTATAATCAATTAATGGTGTTAGTTGAGGGTTAATGGTGTTAGTTGAGGTTAAAACTTAGCTCGAAACTTAGCTCCGCGCACAGGTCAAACAGCTAAGATGACTGCATGATTGATCTGTTTTCAGTTACATTTTTAATTGCAGACGAACCATTTCTGTATTGAATTAAGGCTCACGACAACCATTCAGCTTGTCTGTAATTGTCATTCACATCAATTCGGGTAAGTTAATGCTTTAATGAGTAAAGGCGGGCTTTATTGAGCCTCTTTATTGCCATAGCAACCAAACGGAAATTCAAAGTTGATTACAAGATTGTTTTCGCGCCGTTAGAAGGGCCCCGCTGTGCGGGGGGGGGGGGGGGGGGGGCCAAATCGTCGTTTGAATGTGGGACAATTTCGAAAAACTTAACTAAAGTACTAGCAAAACTGCGCGTTTTGCTCTAGATACACACTTTTTTAGAGATTTTAACGGCGTATCCTCTAAAATCACCTAATTTGTTAAATTTTAGGGAGGTGCACCAAAAGGGGAGGGGGCGCCAACAGGGGGGGGCGCTTTTCGGCGGGGGCACCAACAGGCAATGTTACACCACTGGAGAGTACCCAATTTCGCAATGTCCATGTCGGTTAATCCGTAGAGTCCTGTCTCCCCTTCACCTAGGATAATCTCGTTGTCATTCCCCGGTACAGTGTAGCTGAACCAATACCTCTTGTTATCAGAGAAACTCTTCTGCTGCCAGGCACACACTGCCCGTCCAGTAAGAGCGGGTAAATCAGGGTTGTAGCTGATGAAGTTATCTATGTTAGCGGGTCCAGGGAAATCCAGGATCTGGTTGTGTCCAACGTCACCCAGGACCAGTCCGGCCACCAATAGTAGAGTAGTTGTAGCTAACATGTCTGCCAAGATAAGTGAGGAGTCAACAAACTGTACCCGGTTAAGTACCCCCCCCCCCCCCCCCCCCCCTCATCTAGAGGAGTCAGCCACGCAGATCTTTGAGGTGCATCTTTAATTTCAGCTTACTCTCTTGGACATTATTTTCACAGCATGGAGTTCAGAACCATCCACGCGTTCCAGGTCTTCTCGAAACTAATGAAATAAATTTTTCTATGAGGCCTTCAAGGATTAAAATTACTTTATTGCGGCTTATATCAGAGTTTTCCAATGCGTCTCATTAAGTTTGTACGGTAGTTACACTTCAAGTAACGTAAATGTAATGCCTTGGGAGCTGTTTATTCAACACAGGAAACAGTGTTTTATCTATTATTGATAAATATTGACCGAATATTCCCTCAAATTACATTAAATAATTGTCGACCATTTATTCCGTTTATTATCTGATAAAGGAGTGCACTATGTCATCATGAGCTCCCAGTGCTCTTAACAGTTAACACGTAGCTTGGTTCTAGAGAAGCAGAGGTACAAGCTGAACCTGGGGGAATAGTTAGATCATAGTAACAGTTACACATCAGTGTAATTATAATAGAAACACAGATCAGCACTTTTAGAACGAAGGGGGATATGTACTGGTGGATATTTCCAAGATCTCACTACCTGATAACAATGTTAACAAGCAAAACAAAGAAGTTAACCTGAGGAGAGAGCGATATCATTGAGGGCCATCAGTAAACTCTCCCCCTCAACGTAAGCAAATGATAGGTTGACACAGCCAGGGTACCCCCTTTCTGGGTCTCCATTCCTCTCCAGTTTCCATGTGTGTTAGCTCTGAGGTGACTTTCTCTACAAACCTGGCACTCAGCAATTTCACGTAGTTGTGGTCGTAGCTGAAATGGTTTAAATTCAAAATTGGGTCATCATCTCAACATTTTTCAGCGTTCAACCTTTGGGAAATTCTTTCCTTAACTGTCATTCATGGTGATTGTGATCACTCATCGCCCATATTCAATATGGTATATATGGGCCGCCACGAGCTGTGAAGGATTGACATCGTCAATCAAAATCCCTCTACCTCCAGCATTCACTATCGATAATTTAATAATACATTTAAGAAGAGGCCAGAGGGTTCGGTTTTTAATTAGTTACGTCGTTTGAATTAAAATATCTGGCTATATCTGTTAAGGCCAGAGGGGGGGGGGTAAATGGCACTTTTGTAGTTTTTGCATATTTGATAATAGCTACTGGAGACGAACAAAAAGAAAAAAACCAGATCAAAATCTGACCTTGCGCTTCTGAGATATCGCGCCCTAAATTTTGAGGTTTACCTGTAATTACATGTTAAACTGGAACTTTAAACGGCTGTAACTTTTTTGTCCTTTCGATTCCTTAGTTGAGAAAACCGGCCACTCCCTGATCTTGAGGTTTGGTACGGTGGTTCCTTGGACAATTTTCCTCACTTCTGATGCAGCGATTTTTTTATTTGACTCGGTTCTCGAATTATGAGGTTAACCAGGTCAAAAATTCGAAAAATTTAATTGGTTAACCTCATAATTCGAAAACTGAGTCAAATTTAAAAAATCGCTGCATCAGATATCTAGATAGTTGTCCAAGGAACCACTGTACCAAATCTCAATATCAGGGGGTGGCTGGTTTTCTCAACTAAGGAATTGAAAACCACAAAAGTGTGTTTTGAGATAAATACATTTTAGTGTTTTCAAAATTTTGAATATTTACTGGAATGTGTCACAGTTCGTTAGTTAGGACTTTGTATACCCTTAATGACGTTTGCTTGATAAGACCTGGCCATTCCCTGAATGATTTTAGCCAATTTCAGTAGTTGGTGTCATCGCATTGTAAAAAATGAGGTTAACCAAGATTTCCTGTAAACAGTAACTGATTGAAATTAGTAACAATTTGATTGTTAACCTCACTATAGACCATATAACACTGGGATTAGTTTATCAACATGTTATTATATTAATAGTAAAACATTTGCACCGTGAAACGATTAAGTTTTTGAGGTTAACATGTAATTAACTGGTCAGATATCCAAAAAATGAGAGGTTAACCTCATTTTTTAGCCATTTACGAGTACAATCTTCTATTTAAATATAGTCAGTTCGAATCACCTTTGTTACGTGATTATAGTTGTAGGCAAATTGTGATCCCAATAGATACCTAACTGCGATATTATGGTATATTACAAAAGCAAGAATCGTATGTATATTCTTACGGTACCAAAATATGATGGTTAACCTCATTTTTTCTCATTTACCAAGATAAAAGAAAGTCGATTAACACGTCATCTATATAGAAATGTTTATACCGTAAACTTACGACGAAAATAATAATTCTATCATTTGATCTATTCTCGCTATATCTAAAACAAGAGGTTAACCTCATTTAATCACGTTTGGATATCACTTTTTCTGACAATTATAAACCTAAAATTTAGAGTTTAAATTTGCTGACCGAAATAACAAAACATCATGGAGTGCAATAAAATATTAACCTCAATTTTATTAACCTCAATGTTGTATAGTCAATTTTGTGAAAGTTGGTTAACCTCAATTATTAAAAAAAGTTAAGCAGCTACAAATATGTGAATAGCAGCAATGTTTTTGTCATCAAAAATTGAATTGATTTAGAAAATAATATTTTGGTCAATTTTTTTGACCCCTCTGGCCTTAAGATGAAGTGAATTGTTTACTTCCTGGCTGCACCAAGTCTCACACAGAGATGAGCGGGAACTGTCCCACTTTTCATCCCTCTCTCTTGACCACCTGGCTGACCAGTTTCACTGTCACATTAATATTTACTGTTATCTGCTACAGCTAGCTGTCATGGTAACTTAGCTTTAATTTGTTGTTGTCATAGTAACTCCACGGTCAGCTGACCGATCACACGGAACAACAGTACGGTTTATCTGCAAAGTTAATTATTTAACCATCTCTTTGTTTTTCACAGCTGCTAATTTGTAGCTCACACTTTACAATCGACCCATTTCTAGACCCTCATGACATTGAGACCCTCTTGTTGAGACATGTTTTCAAGCTAATAGTTATATAATTACGGTACTGAGCAGTACTTTGTCCGTTCACTCGGTACAACAGTGCAAAGATAATTATTTATCCACATCTTTGTTATCCATTATTTTGCCACATGTGGCATCTTTAACACGTGACTACATCACAACAAGAGTTTGTTACCAGCATCACGGACAAAGGATACTCTGAATCTCATCAACTCAGAAGACACTTTTTGCCACACTCATAGAGCAGCTAGCCTGGCAAACTATGATCACAGGTTAGTCAGGCAGTGGCTCACACTCTGTTGATATCTCTTTAATGAGATTTGATTTGAGGCCTCTCAACTTCCCTAGTTGAGTGTGTCCCACAACCAAGCTCATTGCCTAGAAGTCCTCATTATATATTATAATGAACCTGGAAATATGCGGCGTGCAGCTCTCTAAACCAAAACAAAAAAAAAACAAATAATCCGAACATCATTTGATCAATTCTACCAATGGACTTCGTACCAACAACAAAGAGACTATATAACCATTTTAAATCCATCCGAATTATCATTGATTGCATTCGAGGAAGAAAAAAATCTAATTACCTAATTGAATTTTCGTCTTCTCACTTTAATAATATTGTGTACTCATGAACCAGACAGTTGTTGTTATTGATTCCCATCTGTAACCACATGGCTTTTCTACTGATATCATTTGATTTCATTTGAAACACAAAGTTAATGATTTTGCTAAAAGTAAAACAAAATTTGACAATGTGCATTCTATACAAATATCTTCTGTTGTCCAAAAATGTCATATCAAATTTAATATTTCGACTGCGTCAGAAAGATGTGCAACATCAAAATTCAGATGTTCTAACTTCTATCAAAGATTTCATCTTGCGGTACTCTCAACGGGCATTTGTAAAAATGCATCAGCTTTTCTACAATAAACACGTGTATACCAATACATTGTACACAATAATGGTGGCAGTTATGTTGTACATAATATGCACTAAACTGCGATCAAACTTCACAGTTAACAACAAACACACCATTAAGGTTCAGCAAATGACTTTTCCCTCTTCGCAAAGTTAAAAAAAGGAGTGATCCCGATAGAAAGTGTCTCATGATCCTGAACTTCCGGAATAACTAACATGTCATAATAAATTCAGATGAGATTAACGACTTCAGTAATAATTTAATATTTTTAATTCTTTCTGAAAACTGGAACTGTCCCAAACAACAAAAATCTTTCATTCTTGTTTAATGAAGACTCTGGGTCGGGAAAATATCTTGATAGCATCGTCAATTTCGCCGATTTTAGATTCCAGTTGGTTGCGTGTGTTGTGACGGCGGAGTGTGTCGTTCCTCAGGGGCATGTTCTGTAATTGTAGCAACAGCTTCTCTCGACCTAAACAAGAGGACAGATTAGAGTTATTAGAGGGATGAAATTGTTGTGACCTTCATAGTAGGGCACATGATCCTTCAAAATAATTAAGTTTGCATTGACTCGGATACAAGATAGACTCGGCTAAGATGTCAAAGACTCAAACTCTAGATTCAGGAAATCCGAAATGAGATAACAGTTCTTACATACACACGTATAATGAGGGAGGAATAATCATCCGCCAATTATCAAATTACGATCGTAATCTTGTGGGTACTGTATAATCACATTACATTTCAGCAATCTTACTTTTAGTGAGAACAGCGAGAGTTTCGTCCTTCTCCTTGGGATCCATAACCACATGACCATCAGGCACAGTGGGGTCAGGGAGATTAGCTATTCTTTCTATTTCTTCTTCCTTCCACTGCGATACTCGCTCCTTTAAACTGAAGATTATTTGGTTAATTAATTGATAATTTGTGATTTCAGTTTATGAAGCACAAAATTATCCGGTTATAAAATATAATATTATAGCCAACCAGTGTATAATATTAACGGAAACAAAACGTCTTTCAAATCCAAATTTTCAGGTAGTAGTTATTTGTGAACTGACCAGAAGCTTCTCTAATGCTACAAAAAATAAGTAAATAAATTCTAACATTTATTACGCGCTTTGAAATTACAAATATACCCAAAGAAGATGTACATTAAAGTAATTCAAGCGACTAAGCGAGACTTAGTATGGAAATAATAGAATTATGCACTTTAAAATCAGTTTATAAAGAGTTTATGGACAAATATCAAGAATATCATTAAAAAAAGGTAAGTGGAAATAAATTATTTTAATGGAACTTTCAGGGAAAAGCTATTCATTATTTGCAATAAGTTTAGTGAGGTTTCTTGTAGCCACATCATAATATGTTATGATGAAATACAGACTCATGTTTAATATCCATCACGCTTCATTTCCATCTCATTTTCCTGACTAACGTAAAATAGGTTGTGTCTCTACAATGTCACACTATTGTGGCATATATGACTATAATATAACTGCAGATAAATAATATTATCTCTTGAATAATATAATTACTGTCACCATGAGACTGAAAAGTAGACAGCTAGTATTTACTATTTAGTAGTAGATAACCTTCATATTCTCATTATTCATCATAAACGTAAAATTATCCGCTAAGCCACTGGTTCCGTGAAGAATCACACGTTCAGACCAACATGCCATTTTCAGCCATATTCCACGTGACTTAACACGTGATAGAGGGACTAGCTTCTCCTTTTAAAACTTATTTGTCCAGTTAATTAGAGGTTTAGCGAAAAGCTAAAGAGTTGAACAAAAGTAAAAATATAACTCCACAACTCATATTATAATGAGCTCTGAAGTATTCCTTACATCTACATGTTAATTTAATAGCTAATGAGCACTGCACTAATATGAAGTTTTTATGTGTATCTGGTTCCCAAATTATAGGTCGTAAAAACAGGGAAACTCTATTTTGAAGTCTTGTTCGTCTTAATTATCTTATAAATGGAACGATATTTTGCAACATTTACTATTACCGCATTTGAAAAAAGTTTTAAATCTCAGTGTTATTGATTTGATTGATTTTCTCAACGTTTCGTAACCAGAATACAAGTTGGGGTCAGACATTGAAAATAACAGATATATCTATGATCGAATGCTGTTCAGCCTGTATGTTAAAGTACTCATAATTTGCATTGACTTGGCCATGTAACATGTTAGTAATTCAATAGACCGGAATGTAGGTATGTAAACATGGCCCTGAGGGGTGGAACTAAGACAGAGGCCTTGGCACAAGGAGTCAAACAACGATTTGCACCGTGATAGATTATGAACGAGGTCTTTATTCTTGAAATATAATTAATGTAGAAAAATCATACATAACGTCATCATAATGTGTGTATTGTGTATAAAAAAGCGTAGAAATCACGTGATTAGCAATCACGTAAGCATTAAGAGCTCCTAGAAATATACGTTCTAATTTCTAAGGTACAATGTGCATACCAAACCCCATGATGTAAAGTAAAAACTTATTGCACAGTTGACAATACCTATTACCTAAGCACCGGTCACCCGTGCCGGTCCTATTTAAAAAATAGGCAGCGTCTGTACACAAATGTTTTAAAACCCCACGTTTCAGGCTGGTAATGTGCATATTTAGAAAATTGAATTATGACCTGTTTGATATTCTGTAATCGAATGATGAAATTAGAATAATGATCATGCCCTTTAAAGTGACACTGTTCACAGAATTCGGATGTCTGAAGACGTAATATCCCACTGCTAGAATCTTTATATAAATTAACATTTTACAAGACGTCGACAACTTTCAGCTTTTAATTTTTTTCGACATTATCATTTTGGTATCATTTGATACCACTCTAATGTCATATAATCAACAGGGCCCTGAAAGTGTAAACTCAAAATAAATCCGTCTTCTCGTTCTGTAATTACTTCATTCACTTTTCCCATTAGGCTGTAGTAAAAGTTCAGCATACTAATACTATAGTATAGGGGTTGTTCACATCTTACGTAATCAGCAGAATTTTCATATAATGAAAACAATAGATCAGCCTTGTATTCCATGGGAGTCATTGAACTTGAGTCAGTAGCAATTAAACAGCATAATTCCTGCATTGTGCCTATCGTCTGATTTAATACATTTCATCGACCTTCACATATAACTATCATAAAGCATTTATTTTGATCCTTGGGTCAGGTTGGTCCGAGTCTGCTCCGAGAGCTTAATATTTGTATAGCTCAATAAAAAATACTCACGTGCGGTGGCAAATATAAATCACACGTGTCAGATCACGGGTCACGTGTCTGATCACGGGTCACGTGTCTGATCACGGGTCACGTGGATATCTCAATCGAAGAAAAATTCTCCCAATTCTTAGAGTGAGTACCTACGTCTTCATTTTTTGGGGAATAATTTGAAATTTCACCAAATTTATAACCGAGATTTAGAGTATAATATATCAGTTTTACCATACATTTCTTTGAAACTCATTTATGATACGAGCTTCGCCAGATTACTTTCATACCTTTTGTTCCGCGAACAGTCGACAAAATACACGGCGACTGACAGATCGGGTCACAAATTAAAACCAAATAATAATAATAGTAATTATAAATAACTTACTAATCCGGGACGGTCCCGCGCTGGTAAGATTTCCTCACATTCTCTTTTTTCTTAGCTACTTTTCGGTCGTGCAGCTTCATAGGATCCACTCTGATTGGAGCTGCTCTGGCCTTCTTCGCATTCTCTGCTACAAAGTTCCTCTTTAAACATGACTGAAAGTAATGATATTGTTATATTATTGTTCCCCTTAAAGGCCGGAATAACTTCCCATATCACCGCTGTTCTAAGTTAAAGTAGATAATATTTTAAACCGACATTCTTTAACAGCTGTCATCATTTCTCTTTCGTAAGATACAAATCTACACAGTGGTAATTAGCCTGATAATTAGGTGTTAATAATCCTTAGCTACCCAATAATTAAATATACTACTCACATCTGAAGCTGATTTCTTTAGAGCACCACCAGCAGGTTTAGTTTGTGCTGCTGGTGCAGGTTTCTTTCCACCTGCAGAACCAGGCCTTGAAGCCGGGGTACCAGGACGGGATCCTGCTCCATAGGTGGCGTCCTGTGGAGATTAGTTTGTTAGTGGTTGTGAAAACTAAAAAGTTAACTTCAATGTTGCTATTATTATACGTAATTTTTAGATGAAGACTATTTGATTTAACAGAGGGAAGCAGATGTGATTTTAAACAATAGAGATCCTATAATAAGATGATTACGTCATCATCTGTGTCACGCACAATCGCACATGTCCACATTTTTCAAACGAAACATCACGTTTACCGTTTTAGGTATCACGTTTCTGGCATCAGATGGGCAAATCAAATTGCTCACCTTTCAAAATTGGGACTCCTTAAATTTAACCGATTCAGGTGACTTTACTTGACAATATAAGTTAGTTAGCTTTCAGCCCGGGCCATTGTCGCGCCATTTACCTTGTCATATTAGCATCATATTCTTGGAAAAGTTCGACTTTCTTTGGAAGGAGTAAAATCTTACGTTTACAATGGCAGGTGCAAAAAAGCGCTCACTTGGTGCGACCACCCCTACAATTCTACTATGGCACCATTTAGTGCACCGTGGTATAGTTAGACTTTAGAGGATTGACAATGTAGCACGCTGAATATAGCACGCTTGTCTGTAATATTTTGCTGTAGAAACGGTGCTTTTTTAGTGATATTCGAGAATATTATTGCTCGTTGAGAAGTGGAGTATTATGTTCATGGTTTTGTGCCCTGTTTGATCAGTTATTGTAAGCTGTTGTTTATAGTTGAGATAAGACTCACTCGTCAGTGAATGAGAAGCTTAAAATTTGCTAAATTTGCCACTATTGCAATTTTTACATTTGCATTGATAACGGTTACTTTAATATTAAAAGATTGATAAAAACAAAGTGAAGCAGGTCAAGAGTTCAAATGACAGCTAAAGTATGAAATTCTTCCGCCATGAAATAGCAAAATATCGGATCAAAGGATCAAGGAGACCTTATTCTTACAGTAAATATATATTTGCCCCAATTATTCTGTTGGCGCGTTTACCAATATCCCCTAACTTTTGCCGACCAAACATCAGGTGGTCACTATCTCATCTTATGAACATAAATATTTAAACTTCATTACTCATATGATCAGCTAGAGAAAGATAACAAATCAGTTATACATATATTGAAAGCAGGGCTGAGTAATTTTTCTCGCTAATCGAAGCTTAACGATTAAGATTCTTTTTGAACTTTATAATATCAGAGTAAATGTTGATAACCGGTCAGTTATTATTATTCTTTGTAAGTTTGTAACATTCATTGATTAGAGGAATTTTTATCAGTGACCACCTTATGGTGCAAGATTTGCATACGGTTTCACTCAACACTATTTTGTCCTGTCATAGATAGTTACTCGATTACAGACCAAAAGTTATAAATAGGTTGCCAATTTTAATGTTATTTATTTTTGCTAATGTTGAGGTAGGTTGATCGATGAACCAGACGTTTTTTTTCTTCATAATTTGTATTCCTGTCATTTCCTTACTAAAGACAAAAGGGGCACTGCTGTCAAACTGCTGTTAAAAGCTTATTAGCCCGATATAGACAGCTAGTTATTTAACATGTGGGACCAGAACTCTCTAAAATGTCTACCACTTGACTAGCTGAGATCCAGAAACATTTTGTAAGATGCATGTTCATGCGACACTTCGACTCGAAATAGATGATGTAACCTCTGTATAACTCGTGGTTTTGTCCCTGTGACCTTTCGTTTGTTTGGGGACCGGTTTTTTATACCCGACCCGGCCAATGTTTACAAAATAATATAATACATAACAATATAATTTTATTTAATATGCGTGAATATGAAAATTGAAAATGTTGATTACGTCTATTCATTAAAAACAAAAAACAGAAACTTTAAAAATTAAAACTTGTATATCATGATTTATTAACATATAGTGACAAATAATTTGATTTGATACGACAGATGATCACACGCACTGTTTTATAAGCTACTTGAGGTTAAAACAAAAAAGAATAACTGAGCCCATGTCTTATCAGCACCTGCTAGCGCTATCTATATGATGCTATTAATATGACAGTGAATGGGCAGTGAAAAAAGTGGCATATGGTTGATAGTGACTAGTGTGCTAACCGTCTGGTTTTATTTATTCCTTAGTTTATTCTCGGTAGTTGATTTGTTGTGTGCCTGATCTTGTTGATTTACGTAGCCCGGGTAAATTATGTAACAGAAAAGGTGGCCATTCTTCATCGTTTCCTGAGCTTTGTAGTTCTATCATTACACGCTTCGCTGATTTCTTATATATGCTTATTGAGAAAATGCTAGATGGGCAAGTTATGCGACTAATGTTGTGCTCGGTAATAGCTAATATAGGACCTTTATACAGAACACTAGCGCGTAGATCTGGTTGAGAGAACGTTGTTAGCCAGTCGATATTGTCGTCATAAGACGTGCCATACTTTGGTATATCGGGAGGAAATAAGTCTTTTATCGACGACGGCAGAAGGCCGGGCATGTAAGTTATCTTGTGCATCAGAGTCAGAGCGTTTTTTATGATGACCCCGTGTACAGATAATATTTCGTACTCTTTAAACGTAGTTTTAGTATGATCCGGAAGCTTACCGTCCTTGTAATAGTAATTCACGTAGCCCGGCATAACTGCTCGTATTCCCTGCTTTTGTTTAGTGAACAGTGATTCAATATGGGATTTTGCAGCAAAGCCCCAAACTAGTGAACAGAAATTTAAGTGAGATTGTACAAAACTTTGGAAGATCTGTAAGCGTGCTTTGATTGGTAATTTGCGTTTTATTTTGAACATAATACCTATAAACCGTGACATTTTTGTTTTGACGGCTCGGATGTGGCTGGCCCATTTTAGTTTGTCGTCGACGATAACTCCTAAAAACCTGGCCTCCGTTTTGCGTTCTATAGGAGAGTTGTCGATACTTACTTGTAGAGACGATAGATCTACCCGTCTTTTTGAAAATACCATATAGCAAGTCTTCTTCAGATTAAGAGCTAGGCCGTTCGAGTTAACCCATTTTATCAACACGTCAGTGAGGCGGTTTACTTTGGATATAATGTCTTGTACATTTGATCCGGTGATAATAATGTTTGCGTCGTCTGCGTATAATATAAATTTAGCTAGGTTACGGATTCCTGGTAAGTCATTGATATATATGACAAAGAGCAGGGGGCCTAATATGCTCCCTTGTGGAACACCGTATATCATAGATTCTAATGATGAATTGGAGCCGTTTGGTTAAAATTCGTATGCCTTGTGTGCACTTTTGCTGCAAATAATCGATTATTTTCACTGATTAATAGATATGAAAATCGCAGGATGTATTATTCATATTGCCATCTACCATAAACGAGGATCGACCAAAGTCCAAAAACTGCTCCCGATATGATACCTCGAACAGAGTTCACCTTAAACCTGTTTGTCATTATAGTACGTTCTAACTTCAGAAGCTAATATCATTGCAGGAGCCCGTTTCAGCCAGTAATATCTATTATATCCAGCACCACTGAGAACACAGTATGTAACTCAGTAATTAGGGTAATCTACAGTGGTTTCTAGAAAGAAAGCATATAAACGTCAGAGTGAAAAATTGTTTCAGTCTGAAGATTTGTTAAACTCAACAGATACTTTGTCAGAGCCAAGTGTCGACTGGTGCCAGCATGAGCAGCAGACCATTCTCAATTCACACTTATTTTACAAGAATATTGTTGTGCGTCGAGTGTTTGGTATCCAACATTATCCTATTAAATAAATTTTTAGGAGCTGGCGCTCACTTTCTTTTGTTAGGATTACATACTGTGCCTGAAAATAATTTTACAGTTGACAGTGTCGAGTAGTATTTTATACTACGGACTTTGGAGTATGGTAATGATACGTGGTTGTTCATGCGTTTTGTGCACGTGTATATTATATCGTGGACGTAAATTCTGCTGAAAAATCCTATGAATTATAGAAACTTAGAAGTTGTACCATCTTGCTTCAAAAATTTCAAATAGTTTTCCACCATTCAGATTAAACGTCCTTAGTATCTAGTACAACAGTATCATTGTTTACTCTGCAACTGAATAGTAACACATTACAAAAAGGAGGGCCAGGGAAAGGTAGGGAATATATTATTATATATTATAATTATACGACACAGGTGAAACTTACTGTTTTGTAGAGAACTCTAACTTTGACATTCAATTATAAAGATAGCTTTACTAAGCTTGTCATCATGCGAAACTACTAGTTTGGCATAATTTTGGAGTTTTAATTGTTTATTATAATATAAATAATCATAAATATAACATAATATTATGAGATTTATGAATTATATGATGAGAAGAACCACTCTGTCTAGGATGTAGGTACTAGACGGCAGACGGTTACATGACTGGAAGTACATATATATGTAAACATCTGGTGACTAGCTCTGCTGTTTTCCGACATATTTAATGACGTTACAAAGCGAAGTGGGACGCACCTAGATTTACAGTTTAGCGTCCTCATTCCTCTAACTGTCAGTTCTCACGTACATAGTTTACTTAACCCCTCTCTTTATTGCTATGGTATTACTATACAGGTCTACGTTATCTCAGACGTAAGGTGATTTTTTCTCTGTTTTTTCCCCCAGTTTTTATCAGTAGAGGTCAATCTGATCTTGTTTGTCACAGACCCTCCAAATATCTAAATGAGAACACTAAGAGGCATGAGCTGTAATCTTGAAATCTACTCTTGCTTCTCAATAATTTATAGATTGTTAAAAAGGAGCAACCAACACTGATAACCCATGTAACAACTACCAGTCTGCTCAGTCTGCTCTGTCTGGTATACATGTCAGTAAATACCTTTCACAGACTGCCAACTCAACAGATAATGACGTATCGATTGTATGTTAAACAGCGCTCTACTCTAATAACGAACTCTTAAATTATTCACATGACCTGATCACGTGCTTTCCACGTGTCCTGATATGAAGTTTGTTAACTTCTAGAGGAGACGTGATTGTAAGACGTGTCCAGGTATTATATTGTGGGCTCACAATTACAGTTTGCCAATCTTGTGCCATGTTCAATCAGCGTTCGCTTAATTATAGATTTGTTAGAACTATCGTAGTCTGCAATTGACGAGGTTGGCCATACCTCTTGCCACCGATTATTATTCATTAGACCATTGAGGGGAGAAACAGCTGTAAAGCAGAACAATTTAAATGTTCATATTATTCTTAATGACAGTGCACCAATCACCGATAATAACCTCTCGTCTTGCTCAATTTTGCGACATTATGAGCAACAACAGTTTGTAAATTTGTAATTTGCGCAGGTAAAATAACGGTACCAAGTAATAATTATTCAACCGCAATTAGCGCACCAAATCAAGTCCACGTGATTATAAAGTTGTCCGTATGTAAACTACTACTACTACATATTACACCAATAAATACCTTATACGAGCTGCTCCAGGGCCCTAGTTGCTGTAGTATAATGATAATTCAAACCAGCCCCGGGTAAATAATCAAGGTAGAGCAAGCGAAGGCAGGTGTAGCTGATTAGGACTAAAGACAAATACGGTAATGATGATTATTGACCTTAGCTGCAAATTATGACGAATAAACTTTAAAATATGTTATAATTTATAAATAACTCTTTTATATAAGTACGTTTTATATTAGCGAATTGAGTGAATTTCAAGTTGGCACGGTCAGAAGGAATCACTACGGCCTTATCTTCAGTCTGTCACAATTGTTGAGCACAGTTTAGACTGGTCACGATTTTCAGAATTAAATTATTCACACATTGAAGGAACTGTACGATTTGGAGTGAATAAAGCTTTTCAAAACATTCATTTCGCTATAAATACTGCTCACTCTATGTCATTTGCAACTTTGTACCTTATAATTTATAACAGTTTAATCATAGAAGAAGTAACCGTCAATAACATTATAAATTTAGAGATTGTTTGTTCGTATAGCCATGGTCGTCACTCCACCATCCATTATTGGGCGTGACCGTTCCATCATGTTTCATTGACTTAAAACAGGTCGAACAAAGCATGATCTAAGATATCAGGTGCGTCCAAGTTGTGCAAGAATCCTTTCGATTTCCTTGGTTAGTTTTCTGTTAGGCTATTGTGTGAAGACATAAATACAGGGTGGGCCAAAAGTCAGTACCCATACGTTGGCCTTAATAGCTCCGCCGTGTTTTATATTTGAGAGCTGTTGCTTTGCAGATGGCATACTGTACTTACTGGTTCGAGGATTCCGTCGTCAAAATTTGAAAATTCGAATATTTTAGACCACGCCCATTCAATATTAAAACACCTATATTGTTTTCTCTGAACATGCTGAACGCCTAATTTTTTCAGAGACGGTAGATTATCAAATGTTGCATATGATCTGAAAACATGAGGCAAAACGGATTAGAAATGACGAAGTAATCAAGCATTTTCTGTATCTCGTTAACAAAATTGACTGGGTGATTATGTGACACCGTGACACGACACCTTAATTGGGCACCCTTAACAGTCCCCATAATGTTTAACGGGGTAGTTAACGGGGTCACCTTATCACGTGATTAGGTAAACCAATCACCTGATCACACGTAATGAATTAACTCGTTATGCTTCATATCTCGGTCATCTGAGAAGCTACAGTTCTAATTCTTTCAGGACAAACGTAATTCGAATGGCCAAACACAATTCAATAACGTTTAGCTTGATCCTACTATCCAAACTATCAAATAAATGCAAAAATGAACCTTCATTTGAAAAAAATGAACGCGAATATTTTTCGAGTTGACAAATTCCTCGAACCAGTGGTGGTACTAAGTCATACCAGAAAGAAATATTTAAATTGGGCACTCAGTGACTGAGCTATAAAGGCCAACGTATGGGTACTGACTTTTGGCCCACCCTGTACAATTAAGGGGATTCAGCACGGAATATAGAATCTCGGCGACGAACCATCTTTAATGAGGACACTGTTTATTCTGTTGTTCGTAACACACTGTACTTGTGAATTAAAATTTAAGTAATTTGATCATTGAGGTGGCTAAGGCGATCAAAAAAGACCTTTCATGAATAAGGGACGAGTGGTTCGTCATCGTTGAATATTATTCAGACTGACCACAATTTTCCGCATTAATTTATTAGCACTTAAATAATTTAAATGCCACTGTGCAGGTGTTCGTCCGACTTGATTTGATTTAAATTATGAATATCAAGCCTAAGTATATAATACATGAATTTTATATGCTCGAAACGTCTAGATTTGTTTTGTTGGGCCGTTTGCATTACAATAGTTAGTACGTTATGGGATCAATTCAATTCATAGACTTGCATTATGCATAGAATATTAAATCTCACCGTTGAATCAGGACATAGTTCATTATACAACTCTATTTACCATAATAATAACAAATACTTGGTTAATTGAAGATATCAGTCAGGAACATGAGCCACTAGTCTGTTAATTATAATCATGATAATTGGCTAGCCAATTTTAGTCCCCTCATCCCTAATATGTGTTTAATATGTATTATTAAGAAACTGATTTGACAATAACGGGGACATGAGGGCACAATGCTAACTTTCGAGTGCTATCTGTATTTACAGTCAGAACAATTTCCATTTCTTTTCATAGTATAGGTAGAAAAGCATTTAGCGGTTAGTCTTGAAGTTCATATTTTTGACTTCTTGAAAATTGAAATTGTAAGCTTTACTTATCATAGTCCATAGATCAGTTATACATCTAATCTGACACTTGAATTTCAGGAATAGAATGTCACTTTACACACACACCAGCCTAGAGTGGGCTGTGGGAACCATCCTCACCATAACAGCAATCCTAGGTACGATCTTCAACATTGCTTCCTTCACCTACTTCAAGCGTCTTAAAACCAGGAATAAAAACAGCGAATTCTTCAAAAAGCTCTACATGTCGATAACAATTAACGACATATTCGTCTGCCTCGCCCTGTTTCCTGCAATAGATGCAGTCTTCTCTAATGATAGACAAGGCATGTTGGCCTCCAGTCATACCATCTGTGTCTCCTCCTTTATAGGCTGGTGGGTCCTCTCACAAAACTCTGTGGTATTACTGGCCCTTCTCAGTGGCTCCCGGTTGTTGCTCCTCAAAAACGCAAACCGTGTTTTCAAACCTAACTTTGCGTTCATTATACCAGTGGTAACGGTTGTGGTGTTCCTCCTTCTGTGGATTGTCGCAGTTGCCACCAATACCATCTATATCTTCTATAACCCAAACTTTATTGACTGTACCTTTAACTCTTACTCAATGCAGAATGACTCTGCCCCTGTCAGCATCAGTAACCAGATTGGAGCCATTGTAGCGATGTCGCTCTACAACTCTGTTGCTTCAACAGTTTTTAACGTGGTCACCATCTCCTTCGTTTTATCTCTCATAAACCTCCGTCGGTCCAGTCAAGCAGCTACAAGGATTGGCGGGAAAGCTAAGAAACAGAGAGAGGCAGCAGTAACTGTAGTTATAGTCACATTACTATACCTCCTGTGCAATGTTCCCTTCATGCTGGTTATGATGTATGTTCTGATGGATGTCATCAATAACCCAGCAGAGGAGCACACAACTGTAGCGGATATCCGAGTGAGGTATTTCACACATATCTTCGGGAATAACCACATGTGGTTGAACTTCTATGTGTGTCTTATTGCTAACAAGATTTTTGTAAGTTTGAACAGTGTGATGAATCCGGTGGTTTATTATTTTAGGATCGATGGGTTCAGAAAGTTTGTGTCTAAAATTTGGAATCGAGGTGAGGTCAACCCAGGACACTCTATAACAGAAACTAGTGGCCAGGTTTAAATAAAAATTTCCATACTGCATTACTTTATAGCTTGCTGTATCTTTTATCATTGCAGTTTTTGTTAATAATGATTGATAAAGCGTGTAATAATGGAATTTTTTGTGGTTAAATTTATCCTGGATTTCTGTAAGTAACTCAATTTGGGTTCTGTTATTTTATCTGAGTATTTGTTATTTAGTTTACACTTTGCAAGCGTGTTAAATTTTGGTTGTCTATCTTTCAAGTAATTTGTAATGTATCTAATTGATAGCATTTTATAACTAATGTTATCTTAATAACATAATAAGTTTTAACTATGTGTATAATATTTATTTTATTGAAAATTCTGTCCTCTCATATCTCGTTCATCATTCAAAGCAGTAAGTAATTTAGGAAATGAAAATAGACACACCAACATGGACACTGAACTGATACGACTCATTTTTATTAGATTCTACCCAAAATAGGTCCACCATCTGAACAGAAAAAATAGGGATCCATCATAATTATATAATCGGAACCATTCATTTTTAACACATTAAATAAACGACTGATATGTAGTCGTTAGTGACCATTAACCATTTATCTTTTCTTTACGACGAATGAAGAGGATGGCCAGATGTTGTTGGTAAAATTAGAAACTTTTTGATCCGGCAAAAAAGATTTTTAATGGCCGAAAAAGTAATAAATCAGTACAGCATCAGTAAAATAATGTGGCAATAATGTGGCAGTGAAACAAAAAAAAGAACACTTAGTAACTCAGTAGCTACACTTAGTAACTTACCATCCATTGTTTTAATCGGCTTTCTGTCCTCTCGTATTTGCTGTTCTTCCACAATGGTTTGGAATCTGATGGCTGCATTTTCTTTTGACCTTCTTTTTCTTTCTTTTTCATCCGATTATAATTAAGTTGATCTACACTTGCACTTTTTCTTACTGAAAATTTTCCCGATCAGTTGTCAGACATCATGACATTGTAAGAAAACAGTCTGGCGGTACTGCATTTAATCTTAATTTCATTATATAGCTCACGGATAAGACGCCCCACGAAATTGAGATAATTTCACCACATTCCGTAAACACAGAAAAAAGTTGCTCAACATAAACACCATATGGAACATATTCAGTATCTACTATACTAACCTTGTTTGGGTTTATTAGAAACATCAACAATAAGGTTTTTGATGAAGCCTTTGTGCTGATTTGCGATTTCTGCAGCCTCTGGACGCACTCGTGGTGCAGGCTGCGCGACTTCTGCTTTCAGCGCACGTGTCACTCCTTCATTATCTACAATAACATTATCGTTAGAGAGGACAGAGAAACTACTAACACGAACTTACAGTCAGTCTAACAACTAGAATAAATCGTTTAATGATTTTCAACAGTCAGTATGCATGATAATTGCATGATTCTTACTTTTATTTAACAGGATTTTAAAAACTACCTACATTTATTCCGCTCTGTGTTGATAGACAGTGGCTTGCCCTGGAGCAAAACTCCCAATTTCCCGATATTCCCATGGTTCATGTTATTGTTAGCTGCTTGGTTACGTGTACGGGGTTTGGGTTGTTGCTGTGATGCTAGAAATCCTTGCTTTACTGACTTGCTGACTGGTGGAAAAGATGATTCACTTACAATGCTGTAAGAAAAGATATTATTTAAGAGAAAAATCGGCATGTTGAATATCTGCAAGCTATTTCTGTGTGTCTATTTTAAATTACTCATTGTGTTACGATATTTGAACATTAATATTAACACCAAAATCATCCTGAGTCTTACATTGTTTGCATTTAGCATCATTAGGTGTAATCGAGTTTCCATTGAGGATACCAAATGTTCCAGTTTTACCAAGTTTAGCTATCCGGGCAGCATCATCTGTTCTGACCCGCTCTACTGGTGGAGCACTCTTAGCATCTGCAGCTCTTCTCTGCTTATCCTCATCTTGTCAATATAAATCAAGTTGAAGTGGTGGTGCATGTTAACATTGGTTACATGCCAAATGACGTTTTCCTCTAACATGCATTGACGTTATGTAATCTTACTATGATGTGAATTGGGCCGTTTGTCAACTGCATACTATGAAATTTAAACATGCATGCTTTATTATGTTGTGATAATATGCTGCATTATGCTTGTAGAATATTCAGCATTCCACTGTACTAACTGTATGTGAACTCTGAACAGGCTTGCGAAAATTTACTAAAATGCTTGGAATTTATAAGAAAACTTGAAAAATAACAGGTTTAAAATAGAGTAACTTACATTTCCCCTTTTCATCACAAACATTTGTAGATCCTGGGTTAAGAACTAGGGCACCAATTGTTCCGTTATTTCCATACTGGACATTATTCTGTGCATCTGCAAATTTTGCTCTCACTTGGTGAGGATTCAGCTGTGATCCTGGCACTGCAATAAAATATCGTTTCAGCTTATAATATAACTTACACGAACAAATTTTCAAGGAAAATCCTACAATATTGAGTGCTGTTATATTTCAGATCAGTAAGGAATGCAAATGTTATCTTAAACGAAAACGGAGTGTACAAAATAAACATTAATAATTGGTAGTGTTTGAAGTTGTAAAATTACCTTTGCCACCGCCTTGAGAGACGTTTAATATTCCCGACATTGAGCCATTTAAACTTTTATTTTGTATATCTAATGCGTCTGATGTCTTTAACCTGGGTACTCCAGGTGCAGGTTGAGACATTGACTTAATTGATCTTTCATCTGAAAATTATTATTATTCTGAAGGGATACGACAGTTTTTATCTGTAAAACGATCCTATAAACATCCTTGTGGCTTGAAATAAATGCTTTATATCAATTATCAGCAAGAACAAAATTGAAGGCAAGAATTAACTGACCACTTTGCAAGGAAAAATTATTACTCCTATATGATAGAGCTTACTTTGCCCCTGAAGGATGTTTGACATGGATCCATGGATATTTTTGTGTGCAATATCCTGAGCATCTGAACCAGCCAGCCTTTTTCTGATAGGTTCATCCATGTATCCTGTAAAAAAGAGAGAATAGGAGTAAATTTAAGGGTACACAATGCAACGACACTTCAAGATGAAATAATTCTCATAAATAGTCCATTGTTTCAAGATAATGCAGTTATGCATTATATTTATATAAATATATATCATATAGAATTATAGATCACTGTGTTCCTATCACTATGTGTCATTTCCCAAACAAGTTCAATGGGTCTTGTAGGGATATATAGAAGGGCATGACAAAATAAATCTCAAAATATTTAAAATACCTTTATTTTGATTGTAAGAGTTCAGCAGGTTACCCATTGTTCCATTGATATTCCGCTCAGCATATTCTGCCCCATCTTTTGAAACATGATACAAATTGCTGCTAGACCGTCCACCATTAATGCTCCAATTTGTGACCATTTCTAACAGAGAAATGAAAGTGAAAATATTATTAAAATATATAAGTATTTAAACTATCATGTTATCGTCTTGAAATAAAATTTGGCTTTGTTTATATGTAAGATGTTGATTTGAAACAGCTTGTTGGTCAGTCATTCTCTACCAATTGGTAAGCATCCAGATCCACGTTAACATTACAGATCAGAAATACAACTGTTCCGATGTAAACATTTAACAATATTGTTTCATCAGTTGGTTGGATGTTAGTTGAAAAAACAGTTGGAAAGATGACAAATTCACCATATTTCGTCGATAAAAATTAGATTATCTCTCCTGCAATTATAATGGGGCTGGTGGTGTAGTGGCTTTGATAATTTGTGATGACAGGGTTACAGGTTCAAGCCCATTTAATCCTTCACAGACAGTTCAATACATTATTTATTGGGTTTCAATTGTGTTCTGCTGTGAAATATTAGATTGTATTTCATTTTATTCTATTCAGAATAAAACAAATATCATATAGTGAATCCCATCAAGTATTGAAGATTCTCGGTGGACATTAATAACAACGCAATCGTTACATTTAGAGGGGACACGAGGAGCAGCGGAAGAGGCTTCAGAGTTGTAAGCAGCTCATGATATAGCAGCATCCCTCTTGTTGCAGAAAACGCAAAAGCTGGTGTTGGCTCTGGAGACGATCAGGGTTTTACCAGCTTGAGTCCACTTGTCGAGAGGGGAGATAGGTTTGCAGATAGGGTCGCATGGTACACAGGAGGAGCAAAGTGCAAAGAAAATGCCACAAACTGCTACTAACTGCTACTAACTGCTACAAACTGGCACTGACTGCTGCAATCGCGCCCACGCATTCGCACGCCGTTTGCAGCAGTTAGTAGCAGTTTGTAGCAGTCAGTGCCAGTTTGTAGCAGTTAGTGCCAGTTTGTAGCAGTTTGTGGCAGTTGCGCGCGGCGTGCTTTGCGAGGTAAAGACATGCGCGCAACTGCTACAAACTGCTAAAAACTGGCACTAACTGCAACAAACTGGCACTGACTGCTACAAACTGCTACTAACTGCTACAAATGGCGCGCGAATGCAGCAGTTAGTAGCAGTTTGTGGCAGTTAGTGGCAGTTTGTAGCAGTTAGTAGCAGTTTGTGGCAGTTTGTGGCAGTTTCTTTGCACTTTTCTCCTCCTGTGGGTAGGGCTGAGTTCATCGGTTTCGTTTTGTCTGAGACCATAATTGCTGTTGTTGTTCAGGAAGGAGTTGATGGTAGAAACAGTGGCGTAACGTTGCCTGTTGGCATTAATTAAATACGAATTAATTGAAGATAATTAAAAACAAAAATCTATAAGTTAAGCAATTTTAATTCAAGCACGAATTATAATTGCATTCATAGAGACCATCCAATTTAATTGAACAAATACACCGGCAATTATGATTTTTTTGTATCATAGTTGCAACTATGATACAAAAAAGTGGTATGGTGGACAAATTTAGCCTTTGAATGTGAGTTAATTTGAATTGTATTATGATGCCTTTTCGTTAAATCTGTTCGAAATTTTAATCGCCGTTTTATTTTGTTTTTCTTATAATTTGTTTAAACATTTTTTTTACCCGAGGACCCGCCGCAGGCTTTTAAAAAATCAAATAACAAATAACGCAATTTAATAAATTTTAAGATCTCATGTCAATGAAAAAATTGCAAAACGGATTCTTGCTTGACTGATACAGCTAGGTTTAATATAAAGTTTTGTTTAAATGCGCAGCGTCTTGTGTTGGAGGACATTGCCGCTTTGACCATTGACGCTCCGCGCCAATAATTTCACATAGCCATGTGTATACGCGTACTGCGTGACGCGCTTGTTTCAATACTGCAAGCGAGAGGGCTTTGGTTAGAGCAAACAATAATCATACTTGCTTCGCGTGAATATAACAGTTTTTGGGTTATACCAACAATTTCCCAAAATAAATATTTTGCGTGAAGCCTTTATGCTTTACAAATTAATTAAAAATCCTTCCAGATCGTTGCTATGCGAATTAACAAAGCAACGATTTCGTTTTACTTAGCTTCGACTGTCGATGCAAATTAAAAATGATAATTTGCGCGGCGCGTCGAAACGGCGAAGTCCTCCAACTTTACAAACAAAGCCTTGGCTTTTATTAATTACAGAATATTAATCTTACCCGAAACTTTTGCATATTTATTACCTGGCACGCCAATCCCTAGACTAACAAGCAATTAACCATCAAGCCAATATGTGAGCATACTCATTGCAAATATATTAAATATAAATTATATAATAAGCAAATCACCAAAAAAACGGTTCGCCCAAAAATATTATTCAGTATGAACCTTTTCTCATTTCTATTTGAGAAAATTATACGTTATTAAAATGCCCTACATAGTGGATATTACAAATTCTTATAGTGTGAATAATTGTAAGATACAGTAGAATTTTAAATAGGGCTGTATTAAAAAAGCAATTTATTGTGATGATGTGATAAGTAGAATTGAAAGAGATAATTATCTGGAGAATAAAAGTAAACATAATGATTATTTGTGATTTCATACTGCATACGTTATATGACCACCCGCCGCGCACGAGTGCGCGGCTCCACTGTATTGTACAAACTCCACTATAGTAAAACGACAATTATGGGGGTCACGACGTGAAACAAGTTTCATCCCTATGTAGCAAAGAAGAAATTTATTAACTTGAACTAGGTAGTTTGGGTATAATTTAAATTATTAAGATATTTTCATGAATATTTGTGTTGATTTTATGTATCATTGTGTTTTACCTGAGGACCCCAGGCTATTATGTTCATTAACATATAATGAATAAAGATTTGGCGGAATGACAGGCTGAGCGCGGCCCAGTAACATTGTGTTTTGATTTGATTTATTTGTTTTCAGTTAGTAGTGAGTGAAGATTATTTAGGGATTTAGTTTGGCTTGATCATTGATTCCACCATTACAGTTTCAGGACTGGACTGCTGGTAGCGAGCAGTAAGGTTTTAAACTATTCTACAACTAGTAATATGTATAGGATCATCGTTTCTGTCCTATTTCTTAACTTGTACTTGGTTTGGGTCATCCACTGGGAACTAAAACTCTGACCTCAATATGGCAAACTTTACTTCTTTTACTATCTACCTGATTGAATAATTCAATCTACCGAGTAAATACAACATAAAGTAAATTAATGGATGGCCCTTCTTAATAGTGACCCATGTTTTAGTCACGGTAGCTGTGCTGTGCCTGTTTTTGTCACTGCCAGAGTTAAGTAGACACACAGCAGGAATCCACTCTTTAAAACACTTCTGAACATTCCTCAAAGGTTGGATGTGCTCTTCAGGCAAATTTACTTGCAATCTTATGTAAACCGTATTGACAATAAAAATCTATTTGGTTATCATTAAGTTTTACTGATTCATTCAGTGTGCTGAAAAATCTATTGCATTATGAATTATGAATCATTTAATCTATTAATTGGTAGTTGTATTGTCGAGGGTATCTTACCTTCAGCTGGAAAATGACCATTGCTGAAATTATCTGTATATATTGTTCATTAATGGGCCTTTAATGTAGCAATAATATTGGTTATTGATCTGAGATCCCCTCATCAATGATGAGATTTTGCAACCCCCCATATGTACACTTAGTCCATAGGAGGACAAAACATCAACAATAACTGTGCTAGGTCAGCACGCTAATTTATCTTTCCTATTATCCAACACAGAAATTTATACTTTCAGTCAGGTTCACGACACATGCCACGTTTAAATTGCAAATTGTACTTAATAAAGAATAAATAATTTCCTCTCAAACCTTCAATGTTACATTTTCAATTTGAAGGATTGAAAGATTGACATTAGAATGACATAATTGATAATATTTTATTTTTGTTTTAAAGATGTAGAGTACAGACTGTTTTAGGAATATGATTATTATATCTCAATTTGGCTTTAGGTAGGGTGCCCCGCTAAAAGAACTGGATTCTTCCAGGAAGCATCCCGTGCACAGACCTTGGTCTACATATATATTAAATTATTAACCATTCATTCTGTATGTGCACGAAAATTTATTTCAATTTAGCCGCTGGATTGGTGCGCGAGGCTGAGAGACTAGACCTGCTGGTTCTTTTGGGCAAGCATGTTTGGCTCTACTGGTTCTGAAAAGTTTATCAAAGGAATCCTACTTATAATATTTATTTTCATATATTAATATTCACTGTAATCACAATGAAATTTAAATTCTGTTTTCCCTTATTAATTTATTAACCATATTCAAATTAAATGCAGATACTGCAAAGTTTCACAAAATATCAAATATATATATTGATTATCAATGTGTTTAATTTGTATATTGCTACTATCAATAGTTGAGCTCTTTGAACTATACAGCTGAATATTGCAATCATACCATATAATTCTTGGAATATTTGGAAAGGTATTTAACACGATTTTGTTGTTCAGCTTCCACACCATGACCACTCATCTCAAACGCATTGACACCACTCTGAGCTCTCGCATATTTAAGATTCATAACACGCCACCACTTTCAGCTGACTAAAGATGTTACTGCTGAACAAATCTTGTTTGTACAGATTATATTTTCCCCCAGCCCTTGTATGAAGTGTAGTACTGTGCCTATTATTATTACAACAGACAATCTGGGTGTCATTCATCGACTGTAATTTCTTATTTGTTAGGCATGTCTGATAGTCATAGATGACAATGAAATGGTTCTTAAAAACCCTTCTTTTGTTTCTGTGTACTTTTGGTAAGTTCAATATTATACATTCACAATTATTTTGTAGCAGTTTATATCTAAAATGGTACTTTATATCTAAAATGAACCCTCTTATGACTAATATTGAGATAAGTGAGTCAGTTTTTCCTAAATATGAAATGAATACAATACAAAAATATGCCACAGCTAACATATCTCACATTCTCAGGATCTGTGACGTGTATGATTGATAGAATAGATGTCTTGATTCATCCTAAGATATCAGAGGAGCACGTTACAACAAGTATCACTTTGACATGTGCTGCCTACTATGTTAATTCTGAGTCATTTGATGTCAATGTGGACGTGCAATGGTACGGAAAAAAAGTCGTCTGAACTTGATAAACGTTTTTAGATCTGATTTGTTGATAAAATAACTGTTTAATTACTGAAGTCTTATCAGCCTCATGATAATATATTGCAGGTACTTTGTAAAGGAAACTGAAGATAACAGTACAGTGGCAAAATCTTCTATTATCACCTCAAATACCCGATCAAGCAATGGTCGTCTCATGTTTGAAATGTCGGAAGTCAGAAACTCAACCGTGTCTTTCCTGTACGCATCTGGGGAATACAATGGCGACTATTACTGTATTGTGTCCAAAATAGGATTAACAGCTCAATCCAATAGCGCTACCTACAGATATGGTGGAAGTGATTCTGAGACATTTATTGTTGAACCAAGTTTCTCAAGCTCAACTCAGTCTACAACACAGACACTTACATGTCAGACAGACGATCTTTTGGCAGAGACTCCTGAAATTGAATGGTTTTACCATAAAGACAATAGAACCAAATACAATTTGAATAATAACGAGTATGCGCCATACAATCTAAACTTATTCAACATTTACTCTGAAGGAGTGCGGAAATCTGTCCTAGAATTAGTGTACGCTTCTGAGAACTATAATGGTGAATATTATTGTATCGCAAAGTTCAGTGAACAAAAACAGACTTCTAGCAGATCAGCTGTTTACAAATATGCTGGTAAGAATAATATTTAAAGATTTTTGTACACCAACAACAATTCTTCACATTCCCCAAAGTTGCCGATTCTTATACAAAGAAAATTTTTTTCTGTTTTAACACTGTTTTACCTTTTTATGATCATCTAAAAAAATTTCATAACTCTAGAATTCCCTCTCTTACAGTAAGTGAAGACACTGATACGTTTCAATTTGTGGTGTCGTTGTCCTTACTGGTGGGAGGAGAGATTCATTTTGATGGGTCTCCTGTTTACGCTGATGACGGACTAAGCGGTCCTGTCTCATTACAGTGCATGGTATGACAAAGTTAGCGATTGGGTAGAACTATCTTAACAGGGATTAAAACTTTTGATTTAAGTTGATTAATAAAATAAGGATACTTTAACGACATACGGATACTGATATCAGTTTATCTTATTAAAAATCATATAAAATATAATATTAGACTCTAGAAAATTGCCTTTTTCAGGATTCCACATTCAGTGAAAAAATAATGATAGAAAAGAACTACACATGGATCTTTTCAACAGGGGCGGACGATGACGATCTGAAAGAGCTAGTTTCCAACAATCTCTATCAAATATCTGACCATGGCTTCTTAAATGTGTTAGAATTTCAGTTCTCCTCCACAGATTATGTCGGTAACTACAGATGTCTTATCGTTGGAGTAACGGAAGATGGAGAGGCTGTTTTTGGGGTAAGTTAGATTATAATATTATAAGATACAAGAGAGATGTAACTTTGAGACTGAGGAGGATTAGGACTCCTCAGACTGCAGTACATATATAATATTTCTTCTCTATTGTCCTCAATAAATAAAAGTGTGCAACAATTTTGAAATAAAACAGATAGGTGCACAACACGGAGGTTGCACATTCTCATATCATTCAGAACGTCCATATTCTCCTTTTTCGGGCTAATAGCTGCGGGTCCTGCGTGGGTGCGAGATATCCAGAACTTGCTAGAAACAAAAAGTAGACAAAAGAAATCTTGCAAGAGCACCCGAGCGAGTATTCTCAATTTTGTCCGACATTTATTCTTAAAGTAACAAGGATGACCCAACCTCAGGTGAGTGATAAGTTCGTGTACATGTACAACGGTGAGATGGTAACCCCTCAGTTCCTGGTGGAACCCAGCTTTGCTGTGGATAGCATCACACAGCTGGTTACAGAGAGTGGCATTTCTCTGACTTGTAAAGTTACTCAGCCTGCGTTTTATCCTCCAGTTAAAATAACGTGAGTTGGCGACTTTCATTAATAAGTGATGTTTTTTATGACGTATGAACATTGGGTTTTTATTTCAACGGAAACGGTTTTCGTGCCAAGGGATTGTTTTTGTTCTTTCAAAATTACACACGTAGCATGAACCAGATTACCCGATATTCTAAATTTGAAAAACAAAATAATTCCTCTGGCCCACTTCCCCCTCATCTTCCCTGTAGCTGAGTATCATTTCCTCTGTATCCCGCTGGGAAATAACCACGGCCTCCCCAACATAACCCACCACAACAACATATCTCCAACTGTCTCCACACAACATGTTATACTGTATGTCAACTGCAGTCTGAGACACCAGACAGTGCATTTGTAGCGCCTCCCCCCTGATGTCTGCTCACCACTAGCCCTCCTCGCTCTCTCTCTTCTCTGCAGCTACCCATTATCACGTTATTATAATTACAGTCTGGTCTATCCTGTACTGTAACATGTTGTGGTCTCCATGAAATGAGCGATTGTCAGGTTAGACTAACTGTTGACAAGGGTTATGGTTTGATGGGTTGGGGGATCCCTCCAAAAATGTAATGTTTATCAGATCATGCCACGTGGTTGGATGGCACCCTCTTAAAATTTAATCACGTGACTTTTTTGTTTCAGGTGGTACAGGGGCTCTGCTGGGTTCTCACGTGTTCCTATTCTCCCTGGTAACATCGCTAACATGTTAGTTCATTTTTATGTTACTAATGTTCTGTTTAAATTTAAATTTGCTCAGTAATTTACATAATATTTATCAACGTACCGTGTACTTCGAAGAAAGTATTCAAAAAGCTTCATTCCTGTCAAATTCTTGCTATAATGTGACGAAATAAATGTAGCTGCATTTCTTATAATGGTAGCCAATCAGTTAAAACAATAAGAACCGTGTTCTCAACATGACAACATAGCATACTTCTTCCCAAAACTCACCAGTATGATTAGCATGGCTATTGTTTTGGACAGAATGGTGTGAATGAAGTTTAACAAAAGCACTGCAGACAGTTTATGGTTAAAATTGTTTGAAAATATGTTTGAAAATATGTTGAAATATTGTTCAGAACATAATCCTATAATCGTCATACGGCTTACAAGAATCTTAAAACCATGATTATGGAAAGCAATAATTGCAATGATACAATAAGAGCTAAATGATGTTGTAAACTCCTTATGAATATTTAATTTAGGTATACAAATTTGGGTATAATATAGCTATATAGACACAAAATAATTAAAGCACTAATAAAGAATAATTACCATTATTTGTGCTTCGTTTAACAAAGAGACGCAGCCTTATTACATTTTATACAACCATGGTCTATACTCACTAAACATATCCACTATTTCAACTTGTTTAACTTATTGAACATAGCAATAAAGTAATCACTATTTAAATAACAATTTAAACTGATACCAGATAACACGTGACCTTCAGGTACTCCCTGAACTGATACTAGATAACACGTGACCCTCAGGTACTCCCTGAACTGATACCAAATAACACGTGACCCTCAGGTACTCCCTGAACTGATTGACAAAAGCACTGCAGACAGTTTATGGTTAAAATTGTTTGAAAATATGTTTGAAAATATGTTAAAATATTGTTCAGAACATAATCCTATAATCGTCATACGGCTTACAAGAATCTTAAAACCATGATTATGGAAAGCAATAATTGCAATGATACAATAAGAGCTAAATGATGTTGTAAACTCCTTATGAATATTTAATTTAGGTATACAAATTTGGGTATAATATAGCTATATAGACACAAAATAATTAAAGCACTAATAAAGAATAATTACCATTATTTGTGCTTCGTTTAACAAAGAGACGCAGCCCTATTACATTTTATACAACCATGGTCTATACTCACTAAACATATCCACTATTTCAACTTGTTTAACTTATTGAACATAGCAATAAAGTAATCACTATTTAAATAACAATTTAAACTGATACCAGATAACACGTGACCTTCAGGTACTCCCTGAACTGATACTAGATAACACGTGACCCTCAGGTACTCCCTGAACTGATAACAAATAACACGTGACCCTCAGGTACTCCCTGAACTGATACCAAATAACACGTGACCCTCAGGTACTCCCTGAACGAGGACGATAGCGTGCTCACATTCCTGCAGTACTCGTCCTACAATAACGGTACATACCACTGTGAGGCTAGTAATAGTCAGGGGATCACTACTAGTAGGGAGGCGCTCTACCAGTACGGGGGTGAGTTAAAGTTATACACCACTAATGTAATTTTACAGTTTGGGAGTGAGTTATCAGAAATATGATGGAAATATAGTGGAAATATGATGGAAATATGATAGAAATATGATAGAAATATTATGGAAATATGATGGAAATATGATAGAAATATGATAGAAATATGATAGAAATATGATAGAAATACGAACTTTTACAATGATGAGATAACAATACTCATCATAAGCATGACAAGCTCGTAGGGTATTTATTTTAATTCTCATGTGATAATATTATATCAGTTTTATAAACATTTACGTGGTCTTCCTATTTCCGGATTCGAGCGTTTTTTCATTGCTAATTCCATTTTATGATTCGTAGCAAGGGTATTCTCAATTAGGCTAGACGCATACTATTAACTAAACTAAGTTGGTGGGTGATATATTTGGTTTTTTAATGATAAGTTAAACCTATTTTGTGCCCAACGAGTAGTAAGATCAAAGAGACACACTGTCGGTCAGTCAGGAAAAAATCAGTAAATCTCCGAGCAGACAGTGTTCTAGACGCAATATTCTGGAAGGTCTTCAATCGTAATAGTAGATGTCTCGGTTGATGTTGTGACTGCTTAGAAGCTGATGAAGTGGTCCCAGGCAGGGGCCAGACTTTCAGCTGAAAACTCATTTGTAAATCAAGCGTAACTAGGGTCCTAACTAATAAGACGTTATCATCGGCCGTGGAACTTACTGCTGGTATTCGTGGCATTCTGATTACACGAACAGCGCGACAACGGCATTCTTTTGACGCTCTATCTCAGGTGTTTAATAGTGCAATCCTCACTGCAGCTGCAAACATACATTCACGGCACAATTCACGCAATTCCCTTCTAATGGAGCTGCAACAGTAGAACTCAGCACACGCCATGCAGCACACATCTCTCTCCCTAATAAAACATGGAACGATCACCCAGCATGTTCGATAACAGGTCCACTAGTCGAACCAATGGTAACCTTGTAACACAGCTAATAGCTTGTCATCACCAACTGTCAATACGTCAGTACTGTTATTTCTGACACTTTGTGGCCTGTTGGAGAGTGGCCTGGTTCCGTTTAATCGGGAAGTTCTGTCCTGCAGATGTAGGACAGGGTGTAGGACAGGATGTAGGACAGGGTGTAGGACAGGATGTAGGACACTGGTCAGTGGTCACTTAAAGCATTCTGGTAGTCCTGTTTTCTTCATCTAGCCTTCAATATGCAGTCTACTGTATGCAGTGCAGCTCTACATTTCGCAGTAGATCTCATAATTGAAGCTGAGGGCTTAGACTTAGAGAAGGAGATGGTGTCTCTCTCTCAGGCGAGGAATCCAGGAACTGTAGTACTGTAGTACAATATCCCTGGTAGGATGAACTCACAACATGTTGCAGGAAAACCGGAAACACGAGGAGTTATAAAACATGCTGTGGTTTGTTGTTAAAATCCTGCTCTTATGGGTTTATTAGTAACTAGCTAGAAGTGATTGAAAGAGAAAAGTTCAATGTAAGGTTGGTACAGCTGAACTCGTAGTAGGGTACCTTGTATCCTGGAAGTATGCCGCTACCTCACTAGGTTGCAAGTCAAGTAAAACTAGGAGCGCCGCCTCCCTTACGGCTTCCCCCAACGTCGGCACTCCGCCGGAATATCACCATTCAACTGCGTCTCCACTAATGAACTTTACGTGAACTTGTCGGCAAGTTCGGGGCCGGAACTTGAGCTGAACTTGCCGGCAAATTGGTAGACGTGAAGTCTGGTGGAGAGAGAGAACAGTTGTATGTTAGCTGCGGCAAGTCGTTAGTAGCTCAGCACACGTCTAGATTGGAGCTAGGCGTAATTGTGTCGTAAACTGAGAGGCCGGGGGGCTTCTGCAGTAATTATCTTACCAATTATTGGAGCAAAATCTTGGAAATTGTGGCAAGTAAAAAGTGCCCCCCCCCCCCTGGCCCCTGCTCATATTGATCCACCAAGGTTTTGTAGTGGAGGGACTTCTTGTCTGTCATCATATTTGCGCTACTTGTAACAATACGAATCAGTATTGTTACAGTTTATCTGATTTGTTCCTACACCGCCCAGAGCTGGGCTGAACACGTATAATGCTATGTACACCCCTCACTGTCACATTATAATATTATCAAGAGTAAAGGCCGGAACAATAACATGAGCAGTTACTGGTGAGGCTAGAGGTGGGGTTGTTTGGGAGTAACAAGGCTGGCAGGTGTGCAACACATGTTGATAGCATAATTGGGCCGCGGACAAACCTCAGAATATATTATGTACATAAATTAGTTATTTATCAACAAACGGATTTATATAATGAATTATGTTAGTATGTGGTACGTGCATTCCTTGAATTTTTCTCTGCTTTCAAGTATTATTTCAAGTTTCGTACGGCTTATAACAGTCACTGACTGGAATTTGCCCGAATTCCTATCTATAGAACAAAATGTATGTAAAATCCATCACTTTGAAGTTTAGGTCAAGAAGAAGTGGGTGCTTATCTAGAAATAACAAAGCGAAATGATAAAGTGAAAATGGATGACATTGGACATTCAGTATTGTCTCAGTAATCTGATCATAATAACGAAAACCTGAGTCATAACCTTTAACCGTTCAACAATTCGCTCAACATATTGCCCATTATAACTCTAACTATCTATAGCTAAAGCTTAGTTAGAGTTATACCATTATCATGACAGTAAAAGGATGATCAGATTAACTCTGTTCATTTAGATGTGAGCTACACTATAATAATGCACTATAATATACTATTTCACTATAATGCACTATAATACCACTATTTTGAGCTATCTAACCAATGTGGTTCAGACTGACTCCACAGTCCAAATGTCCAGTAGCTGTTGAGTACTGCGACCCGCCTTACTGTCTAGCATGTGTTGACATTACCATGTGCCAATAACTAGAATAACTAGAAGTTAGGCATGCATAACTCCCCGTCAGAGAATCTAGATTGCTAGCTAGAGCCTAGACTCTGCAAAGGATTCCCAGTTTCCAGAAGGATCTTCAGACAACATCAAAACTTTCTCAGAACAAATCCGTCATAATACATTAGTGCTTCAAGAACGTCATCTCTTGTCTATGAATTATGATACAGTATTATATATATACTCTGACAACTTGTCTATCATACACTTTAATAACTTGTCTGTGTTGGGGGGAGATGAAGGTGACAGGTAGTGTAGGATGAGAAATAAGATATGATCTCCTGACAAATTTAAACAGCTTAATTAGATCCTTTATTAGATCTTGTTAGGTCGATAACATTAGACTACTTGTACACTCTATCTCTAGCCAGTCGAGTTGAATAGCTAATAAAGTTACAGTATTATATTGAGACGGATTAATTGATACTCTGCTGAATCTGGTGTAGTATTATTGCTTCATTGACTCTGCTGAGGGAACTTTTTTAAGTGTGTGGGGTATCAGATCGTGTAAAAAATCACGCAAAATATTGTGATGAGAATGAAAATCAATAATAAAAATGACATTTTTCTAATCCATAACGAAATGAAAATTAATGAATTCTCCGTTTTTTGGTCAGTGATTTACTGACATTCTTTTGGCGAGTGTTTCACTTCTCCAACCTCAGATTACATCAAGATCACCTCGAACGTAACAACAGAAGGGCAGCTGTACCTGGAGTGTGACTACAGTGTAGCTAACTCAGCTGATAGTGAGAGAAGCAGGGTCACGTGGTTGTTTGAGAGCAGTCCTGGGCAGTTCGGTCCGCTGGATTCTAACAAAACATCTGTTGACAATGTTAGTATTTAGTTTTGTTATTGGATGTGATTTTAATGTCATTGCTTGTAATTTACTGTGATTTTAATGTCATTGCTTGTAATTAGCTGTGATTTTAATGTCATTGCTTGTAATTAGCTGTGATTTTAATGTCATTGCTTGTAATTGAGTATGATTATAGTAAATTTAAACGAATATAGATCATGAACCTGGACACGGAAGTTGGTATTTAACAAGAAGAAACTGCTGGGCGGCTTAATATTTGATATAATAATCGGACATGCTACTGTCGTACAATATATAATTATTATAGCCTGTACATAAGCTTTTAAGCAGGTCACTGATCAAAAATTCATAAATCACTGATCCTAAATACCGGTAATATTCCAGGACAACTCAAGTTCTATCTCTACCCTTACATTCCTGGATATGAGTATGAAGGAGGTGGGAAGGTACAAGTGTGTCTTCTCTAAAACTACTAAAGAGAACAAGAACAAGTGGGCTTATGGATTCTACACTATCTCAGGTATTGTAGTAATACTGTTAGTAAAATAGTGTTACAGTAAGTAAAGTGAATTTATATTGCTATTAGTAAATTATAAGTAAAAGTAATGCAAATTTACAGTGATACTATCAGTAGTGTAATCTAAATTTAAAGTTATACTATTAGTAAAGTTCTGTAATCTTGAGTCGTATTACAATTTTCTGTGGTGTACGTTGCTGTACCATATTATCAGGCACTGCAGCTCAATGCAATAAGTGGGATAAGTAAAGTAATGTAACTTTAAAGTTACGTTACAATTTTCTATAGTGTAGCCCGGCGCGGTGCTCTTTACTGCACAGCGATTATTGTATATTTATAGCCACAAGCGAAATTTTCACATGAGATGTTAAAATTTGAATAATACCCCAGTTTTAAAAACGGAGATTAACGAAATGTGCAATTCTTCTTTTCGATTTAAATGTCAAACTGTAGCCGCTTTGTCAAAGAATCCCTGAACCTGCCTATCTGTAGCTGCCACTTGCACTGAGGTGCTATTAGAGAATTGCCGTGCACCACGCTAACCAAGTAATCAGCAGTACACAGGTTTTATTAATTAAAATGTTCTAGAAGAACACACTCCGTCAGCACTTCCACCAAACTACCACCAGAACACGACCTACACTCACATCACCCGATAATTACCATCAATTAAACCAATTATTCAATTAGATAAATAAAATTACTTGATAAAATAATTAAATAATTATGTCTGCCTCCTAAAAATCAGCCCGACACATACATGCTCCCAAGTATCCGCGGTCTGTGATGCTCTAAAATTATTAAATATCCCTACTTCTCCGTGTACTGTTAATCAGTTGTAAATTGCTCTACCTAGATTCTGAGCCTGTAATACTGACCAGATATATATAATAGTATATAACAGTACATGATAGTTAATACTTCTCATTTTTTGTCTTTTTGTTGAAGGTGAGGTCGTTGACGCGCCTACTTTCTCATCGTGTGGTCTTAGTCTATTTTTATACCCTGTCAATTGTTGTCAGTGTATGAACCCGTCAATTTTGCTTTTCGAGTCCGTTTTTGTTCGTGATATTGTGCTGCTCTCTTTATTCTATAGGTGTCGTGCGGTGTTGTTTGTTCTTAAGGTCTTATTGTAATCTTCCTGTTTAGTATCGGACTGTAGTCTTTGATTGTAGCCGGCACATCTGTTCCTGAGTTCGTTGATCAATTAGTTCGGGGCAAAATTTAAAACTTTCCTGTTTTTCCTAGTGAATTTTTGGTTGATAATGAGCATGGTTAATTTTGTGAAAGACGATGCCTTCAGAAGTAACTTTAATTGCTTTAATTAGCGATGATAGTTCGTGATTTATAATATACACTCATTTTAATTTGAATTCCCATTGAAGAAGATGTCTTATTAGTATTACATAGCTCTGACGTATTCAAAATTAAAATTTTGAATATGAGCAGGGCGTGAAAGCGGTCGTTTTACTTCCCAAGTCTTTTAATCTTCTCAAGTTTCTTTTATTTCCACTGGAAATAAACCGTTTTAATCTCGAATTTGTCAGTTTGAAAATTTCACCAGACTTTTTTATTCGTTTAAAATATGTAGTTACACTTAAACAATCTATTACTTTTGCTTCTGAGTATGCATTGAACCCCAACTCTATTACTTCCGAAGCCTTTTAATCTTCTCATATTTCGTCTAAATACCCCTGAAAATTAGCAACATTAAATCAGTACTTACTGTTTGTCACCTTATGTTAGCTCCAAAATCACACCTTGTCTTTACACGCAGTATTTGTTTCTCTTTTTAACTTTTTAAACTGCGGGTTTTTAAACACTACGCACTGATTTTGTTATCTCAGGTTTCAAGTTTAATTAGTTTCAGCTCTTCTTTCAACAGATTTCGTTTCAGTTTCAGGTCTTCTTTCATCTGTTTTATCCTTTACTTTGGTTCTAGTTTGAGAATTTGTCCATATGTTGCGTCATTTTCCGATTATAGTTGAGAGGAATAGACGAACTCAAGTTACAAATTAGAGTTGAACAATTCAACACAGTTTTAGTTAAAATATCAGAAAAATGTATCTTTAGATGTTAAGATAAATCGTTCGTTTGTCTTGTTTTATATGATATCTATTATCCCCTTTATATTAGTATTACGTTGTGCCTTCTATTTCGTTATAATATTGTTAGACTTTTCATCATCTAGCGGACCATCGGTTTTAACGCTTATTATCAGTTTCTAGTCCATGTCTTCTCCTTTAAGCTCCATATGTATCAAACTATAGGATATGGGGGGGGAGGGGGGGGGGGGCACAAAGTGGTTTGAGTCTCTGTGGTCCTTAGGTCTGGAATAAATTGTCTTATATGATTAAACATATTATATTGATACTTCGAGTTTTTAAAAGTAAAAGTGCGAGGAGGCATTTGGTAGCATTTGATTTCATAAGATGACACTATGATCCTTAGCATTTGTTACCAACGTCGCTTTATTTACATGGCTTTGGTGAAATCGTATGATTTTGAATCTATAATTTATATGCTTATTGTCATTATTAATATTATTTGCACCAGTTTCGACTGAGTTATCGATGCTCATGCCACCACATCGCGGGTTTGCTACAACTATTCTAAATAAACTTTGTCCTCGAAGTGTGATACACCAATTTCGAGTACATTAAGCATGGTTTTATAATCTGAGTTATAAGTCTGACGTAGAATGTCGTTACTTTACATAAACTTCCATTACAGCATCCTTCTTATTGACTGCGATCAGTAATCTTATTTATAAGTTAAAACGAGCGTCATTTGAGAATCCATATAGTGTACTACTACGTCAGATTTTCCGTTTCATCGAGTTTTTGATCGTCATTTTCCTCTGAGTTTCAAGTATCCACCCCTCCTTTTTTCCACCCTATCTCCAACCCCTCCTGTACCCTCAATATCTTCTCACTTAAAACGAGCGTCATTTAAGAATCCGTAAAGTGTACGTCTACGTCACTTTTCATCGGGCGTTAAAACGTTATTTTCTCGATACTTTTGCTAAATTTTTCTAGTCATTATCCACTTGTCCCGTTACCACAGTCCCTTGAATCCCTCCTGCACCCCTCTGCCTCACCCCTCCTACCAGGGTGACAAGTTTAAACTACCTCTCACTGCCGGGTGTCACGTGACTTCACAGTCCCCCAACAAACCGAACATTGTTTTAACACTCTATATCTCCCAACATTTTAAAGATGCCTGACATTATTGCAGCTCGGTATCCAGTATCCAGCTCCGAGAGAGAGAGGGAGAGAGAGAGAGAGCCGGACTGTATGGGTACATTTTATACCTGACGCATTCCTGAATGTCTACAGACTTTTTAATACATTCCACCTCCGGCGCGGTTTTAATTTACCTCCGGTATAATTTTAACTTCAAATGTACTTTATATCCTTTATAAAGGTCCTACTATGGCATTGAAAAATAAGTCATCACCGAAAAAAATAGCTCCGGATGTGCTCATATTTCATATAACGGATATAGAACCTGATCAATTGATCTCGCAGTAATGTTTTTATTTTAAAACAGCACACGTGTACGTTATTTTCAAAGCCAATACCGGTACGATCCTCTCTTTGTAGGGTTTATAGAACTACTCCACTTTAGACATAGCACTAATCGTGGGGAGGCCGTCTGGAGGGAGAACTCTATTGAAATGTAGTTGTTCTCTCTCTCTCTCTCTCTCTCTCTCTCTCTCTCTCTCTCTCTCTCTCTCTCTCTCTCTCTCTTTTTTTCTCTCTCTCTCTCTCTCTCTCTCTCTCTCTCTCTCGCTCAATCTCTCTCTTGTCAGGGTATTCAGTTCTTGAAATTAAAAGACGTGTCAAAACTGTCAAAGTGGAGCGCATGTGGGGCTTCCTTTGCTCCATCTCAAGCCTTAGCTCTGTAGGAGATACTGTAACAGTATCCTGCATACCTCGCACCACGCTAGTTTGCTTTTGTTGCTTTAAAACTATCCGCTCTACTACTACTACACACCATGCTCTGTTCTTATACGCTGATTGGATTAGTTTAACCAACGGATTAGTTTAGCCAACGCGCGGTCACTGGTCATGGTTCATGCACCATCAGCGTATTAATTTGGCGTTTTAAAAAATCGTTATGATAGAGTTGTACCTGACGTTCTGGCATGATACCAGTATTAACTGGGATCAAATCATTACTTTATGAGACGCTGTATCCGTGTTGGGTCCGTGTTTGTCTCCTAATCAATCACAGGTCTTGGTCATTAGTCGGCTGTAGTATAACGAGCTTACCAGTCTGACTGGTCCGCCGTGATGGAATCTATTTAAAGGAGGATTTGAAGCACCCTTAGCACCCTATAATAGCACCCTATAGCACTCGAGGTGTCCACAGCATTCAGAGTCTACATATCACTCGGAGTGTTTGACTTAGTAGCACTCGAGAGTGTTAATAGCTCTACAGCACTCGGAAATAACGAGCTCTCCTCAGTCTGACCGGTGGTGGTGGAACCCATGTAAAATACAGCCCGGGGAATGTTAGATAGCAGTTAGTAGCTGGTCCGTAGTTACGGTTGAGGTTACCGGGAGGGTGTTTTAAACAAGGTTTAAAATGTGAGCGCTGCTTTGTTTCGGGGTCATTAGTGGCGGTAAATGTGCTGGTTCCAGTTCAAGTACCGTGGGATTTTGGAGAGGTAGACTTATGTCGAGGGGTGCACGTGCACGTCTTGGTAGTGTTCGTGGTACTCGGAGTAGTTATAGTAGCACTCTGAGTAGTTGTTGCACTCGGATCAGTTGTTGCACTCGGAGCAGTTGTTGCACTCGGAGCAGTTGTTGCACTCGGAGCAGTTGTTGCACTCGGAGTAGTTCAGTATTTGTTGCACTCTGAGTAGTAATTGTTGTACTCTGAGTAGTTGTAGCACTCGGAGTAGTTGTTGCACTCTGAGAAGTAGTTGTAGCACTCGAAGTAGTTGTAGCACTCGGAGTATCTGTTGTACTTTGAGTAGTTATAGCACTCGGAGTAGTTGTTGCACTCTGGGTAGTTGTTGCACGCTGAGTAGTTATTGTTGCACTCTGAGTAGTTGTTGCAGTCTGAGTAGTTGTAGCACAGTGTATACAGCGCTGAGAGTGTTTATAGGATTATTAGTATTTATAGCACAGTATTAGCGCTCATGGTTTGGATTATAATTTTGCTGTCTACACCATTAATCGAAAGTCCTGATGGTGGGTGTTTAGCTAATCTATTTTACCGACTACGGACACTATGATACATATTCACGCAACATGAACATATTATTACATATTTAATACTATAATGTCGTCCAATGTTGATCTCCCCAAATCATGATCCAATTTTTGCTGCCCAGTGTAAGATTATGACTCTAGGAAGTCAAATCGGCAGCTCTGTAGTTGTAGCGATCTTACCGCTTTCTCTCCTCCTCCTTCTCACCGGGTAAATCAGCGAGTAAATTTCTTTTTTCCGTTCCCGTTTTAATTTTTATTATCTATGTAGTTTTATCTTTTTTTCCTTCTGTTTTAAAATACTATGCCCCGAGAATTACCCAAATGCTGGTAGTCAACAACGTCCCATTTGCTGCTGCTAAAGCGATTTAAATGCGTATGTGATTCACCGTTCTACACAATTTTCCGATGACCTTGAACCTGCCTGAACTTTTCGATTAGTTGAACTACGTGACTTATACTGGTGATAGCTCAGAAGCTCTCACCTCCACCCTTCCACTCCAACGCTCCTCTCACTTGGATCGTGACGTCACACCGGCCTGCCGAGCGGTAAAACAATGTGTTACTCGTCACGTGACATAATATGTATATGTCATGTGACGAGTGTATGCATCTCAATATAGTTCTTGCATAGTTACGTCATCGTGTCTCTTTGGAATGTTGTGACGTCACACGTGCTCAGATCTTCCACTTCAGTGTGTCATGTGTGGGGCTTCCGGGAAGTGGCTGATTCTTTTGGTGGACTTCTCTTTTTGTTCTGGGGGCAGAGCTGTTCCCCTGACTTTAACTCTGTTGGTGGATGTTTCCTTTAAATCGGGCTTCTGTTCCTTCACTCCGGTTATAGATCGGTCTTTAAATTCCGGAGGTTGAACCTTCCATTAATTCCGGAGGTTGATCTGTCCTTCTGGCTTTCACTCCGTTGATGAGTTTTTCTCCGGAAGTTGTACTTGTTCTGTCCCTTTACTTCTTCTTTAGGTTTATGCTCCTTCGCTCTGGTAATAGGTCTGTCCCTTCTCTCCGGTGGTGGGACTGTCCCTCCACTTCGGTGTTAGTATGTCCAATACGTTGGTTGACAATAATATGTCCTTATATTATCTCCGGTGGTTGAAATGTCCCTATCTCCAACAGTAGATCTGTCCCTCCACTCCGGTGGAAGCTCACATGCGTCCTGCCGAACCTCCATCACAGCACCAGTTTTATGTTTTCTTAGCGTGTAATCCAATACTTGCTATATATGTTGGGCTGTGTAATTCTAGGCTTCTAGTATACACACTCGCATATGTTTGCTCCCACTTCCCTTCTGTACTTTTTCCACTTGTTCTCACGTTAAACATTCCCGTCCAATTTTTGCGCCCCTAAAAAGCTAAAAATTGCCCCACGGTTTTAGTTTAAGGGGCATCCTCATGTCATATAATTAGTGATTAATGTAGCGAATTAAGAAGACGGGGGTATCGCTCCGGGTACTGCGCAGTTATAAAATTATACGTACGTGTTGATTGCTCCATGTATAAACTTTGAGTTACTCAGCTTGACAGCTATTGGCTGGAATGTGTCACGTGGCCACTCTCCCCACCTCCCACTGGATACCCTGGCCTCCTGATATTAGATCTGGCTTGAATATATTGCAGTTGTTTCTTTTTACAGTTCGTAAAACAGTCGTGTCCGTTTTTACGAGACTCTGTGTTTTTTACCGGGTGTAGGTAGCTCTAGTAATAGTCTCGATCTCTTCTCGTTTTTCTCTGTGCTTACACAAAACCGTGTTTGTTTAGCTGGATCTAGTACTACGTCACAAACACACACCTGAGGGAGAAAGAACCATGGGCAGACGGCGGTAAAGTTGCGGCATAAAAGGCGCTAAAAGCACAGTAGCAGCTATTCAAGGCGACTAATTCGATTTTGTATTAAACAAGACAAGCTCGTACTACAGCAGAGAGAAAGGGAGCTTAGTTGGGAGATATTGTGTAGTTATCATGTTCTACTGTCTGCTGGTTTCTTGTGTTCTGCTCCTCTCTTCAGTTTCACCACAAATACCAGGTTTGTGCATGATAGGGATGTAATTGTTTTTATTTAGCGTTTTTTCATTTGTCAATATATTGTTTTGCATATAATGCTAAATTAGAATCTCCGTTTCTTTTTGCCGGTTTTCTCATTTTGTCGCATCATTCCCACATATTTCTTGGAAATTGCTAAAAAAAGTTCAGATTTCTCATTTTCTACTGTAATTTTTGTTGGTCCTCTCACGGTAAACCATCTTATCGTATGATAATGATTTGGGCTCTGAAACCAGAAGGTTTCTCTGAGTAGCAGAAAGAAAGAAGTACAGTTTGGATTGTTGGTAACACTCCGCATCCTGGGTGCAGTATTTTGTAGTGATCTACTCTCTGTTAAATTTCTCATCACTATGATAGATAATATAAGATATATGGCTACGTAACTTGGTACAGGGTAATGGCTATATCAGCTCTTAACAATGTAACTGTCATGACCGGAGAGATCCCTACCAGCATTACCATTTCCATTTCCATCGGTGATACTTTTTTCCAGCAATTGAATTTCTAACAACGTGCAACCTCACAAGTGAAAAATTGCATAATTGCATTTTAGGCTGTAACTTCAATCCCAGACACATCCTACCTGCAACTTACAATTACAGTAAATGCCCATTAACCATGACACAGTAACCTGCAATCTCTAGAAATGGTACAATATTTAGGGCCCCCGCTAGTTAGGTAGGGTATCAAATTATACTCCCTCCTCCTCCTCCTCCTCACCTCCTCGTTACGGCTGAATATTACCGGTCGTTCTTCTATAATTTACTAATTAATTGATAATTAACAGTATGGTATCGTGTTGGTATAGTGTTGAAAGTCACTGTAATTGGAATTTGTTTGGATCCAGTAACCAGTATCATTGCAATGATACGGTCTCACGCTTTTTTAGTTGCAGTATTGCAGTTATAATTGTGTGCATTTCATTTGCAGTGGTGAAATGGCTTATAATTTGTGTTGAATAAGTAGGGCTTTACAAAATTAGTTGTCTAAAACTGCTCAGTGATAAAAATTCCAGTTTTCCAGATATAAGTAAAACTTTATTTGCCTACGTGGGGGATACAAGAATTAATTTAGTCGACGCATCCCACTTAAACCTAATATCGTTGTCTCCCACATACTTCGGCAGATACAAAAACGGTTCAGGCTGACGAAAATATAGAATTTTTCAATATTATATATAATATTTAATCTTAGTGACATCATTAACACACGAATCTAAATTATCGTCATAATAAGTTTTCACAAGATTAAAGGTCCGTTTACCAAGGTGAAAATGACGAAGCCGTACATCATTTATACGTCTTCAATAAATATATAAATATGACTAAATTAACGCGAATTTCCATTTGCACCGCAATTATACGAATAATCTCCTAATAAACACAATATGTAATAAATTCCACATTTCAGCGTGCTCGCTGACCCTGAACACAGATTCCCCCGTGCTCGACTCTGGTGAAGAACTATTACTCCGATGCTCTTGCGTCGTGTCCGAAACAGAAAACACCACATTTTACTTCTACAAAGACAGAGTGGGTGAGAGTGACCAGGATATCAGGGAGAGATATGAGGGTGAGGATGATCTCCACAGGATGGAGTTCACTGAATTGGTGAGTTGAGGTTAAACTTTAAACCTCTTTTTTAGTGGAGGTTAAACCTCTTTTTTAGGTATTTAGATTTAGTTCAGGGTTTTTAATTACATTTAATTGCTCCACTAGAATCAACATAAGAAGGAGTCAGGGGTGGGGTGTGTCGGGTAAGAAGTTGTCACTTGTATTGTATACAGGAAGTTAGATCACTGTTTATGTTTTCTCCTACTGCACGGCTCTTAATAATTAATAGTCATTCTAACTTTACACAGGAAGTTCTCTTGTTTATCTTTACTGCACAATGCCATATCCTGAATCGTGTCCAAAAAAACTGTCTTACTATGGCTTTAAATACTATTGTCACGTGACTCTTAGTCTTAGGTCCCAAAAATCTATTTCCGTTTGGAAATTTTGCCGGAAACCGGAATCGAAGATATGCGCACGCTCGTACTTCCTGGTCATAGTAGGACCTATTGCAACGCTATGACAGCGCTTTAGCAATGCTATAGCAATGCTATAGCAACCTATAGCAACACTTCTCTTGACTGAGCTATTCATTATTGGTAACTGCCCCATGTAGCTATGTAGCGAGGCGATGTACATTTCTTGGTCAATGCTTATTAAAACTAACAGCTGAGCGGCAGGATCAAGGAATGTTTTGCCAAACCCTAACCGAATGGAACCAACCATGTTTTTAATTCCCCGTCTTGAACTGAACCATATATGGTCACTTTCCAGACGCGGTGACATGAGTCACGTGTCAATATAAAGCGCACAACGTCCCCACTCTAAGCTACATGTCCTACAAACAAGATACCGCCCACGTGATATCACTACCGCCCACGTGATAACATCACTGTATCTGATATCTCCTACTTCTCTCTCCCTCTGTATGAGAACCTTTTGACCCGGCACCACACTGCAACAGAAGGAAGCCCCACAACCCCTGAACTCCCAGCTACCAAGAACACGATCTAGCAGGTCTTCCTCTCTCTCAGTCGGGTGTCAGCAGACAATGCACTAGCAAAAAGAGAGTATATAACAACATGTAACATAGGCAGAGCGAGAGAGAGGCCGAGAGGGAGAGAGAGACTGAGAGAGAGGGAGAGAGAGGGAGAGAGAGGGAGAGAGAGAGATCGAGGTCAGGTCAGATTCCATCTCATGGTGTGGTGCTGTCATCACGGACCTATCAACAGCTTACAATTACAGCAACCACTATGTTTAATTATTTTTAAAGTCATCCGCTCGCGCTGCAACTTGCTGAGATACGAAGCTAAAGTTTGAGAGCTGTTGTTGGGTGGAGCAGGCTGGGGGTGGTTATCAAGCTCTTTGTGTGGGAAAGGGTTCAACGCAAATCGTTATTTAGTCCACGAATTTTATGGTGGAAATATTGAACTGCCTCCCCACAGTGCAGTGGTACACAATACACATGGGTGGGGGAGTACTTTTAGCACCTTTTAGGGCTCCCCTTTTTAACCGTGCCACATATGGGTTGTGCTGCTGATTGTACATCGGGAGAGGTTTTAGTGCGATTAGTTACCATGCAAAATATGATTGTCCGAATTATATCGCATGTAACGAGTCGTTACTAACGACTGCTGCCTCTTATCCAAATTACCTACATAAAAACATAAATTTTTTACTGTTTTTGACTAGTTCCATTTTTTCAGAAAGCAGGATTGCAGTTCAGGATACCGTTTGCACGTGTAGTGGACTCGGGGATCTACGAGTGTGGTTATCAGATTGAAGGGGAGGAACAGCGAAGCTTTGTGGAGTCTGCTATTGATATCACTGTACAGGGTAAGTCATGTTTTATGTCGTCGTTAGAAACCGTTTTGAATCTTTGGTGATCAAAATGTTTAATAGTCTCATTATCGTCGATATCCTTTTTTTGGTCTAATTTGATGAATGAGATTCTCCTCAAAAAATATTTTGTGGATACTTCTACAAAAGTTTACAAAAATAACAAAATGACTAGTATATAATATTATACAGGTGATACGACAGTGTTCGAGAATTCACCCTTCGGCTACGACAAGTACGACATCAGCATGGGCTTATGGCAGCCGATTATAATCAACCACAACGATGCCAAAGTGACAGCCACCCAAGGTTTTGATCATTTGGTTGTCCCCGTGGTGGTGGCAAGCGTGCCCCAGTTTCTTGATGACTCAGTGTTAAGTGTGCAAGTTAGCTGTCCCACTCAGCAGCCCTTGTACAGTGAATGGTTTGTCCTGTACTGCATTGATTTGGGTTTGGGAACTGAAAATAACGAGGGTAGAGTCAGAGATGGTAGTTCGGACTATAATCTTCAAAGTCTGGTAAGCATGTATATTGTATAATGTATAATGTATAATGTATAATGTATAATGTATAATGTATATTATTTTATAAGCTTTTTAACCGTGCATTTTTTTTGCTGAATTTGGGATTAGGAATTCGGGTCAAAGAAGCGGTTTGTTGTAAAGATTTTAACTGTTTCAGAGATTTACCTTTTTCCATGATCATGATTCCCCCGGGATTCCCCCCGCCATTCTGGACTACTTGGAACCGCAGTACAACTACACCTACACACTTAACTATACGATGGCTGAAGGCGCAACTCTCCCGTCCTACTACCCAACTCAGTTGCCATTAACCATGCATTTCCCGAGTAAGTAGTGTTGAAATCATTATACCTTAACAGGAGGATAATATAAAGTTTAAAATAAAAGGTAATAAAATAAAAGCAGCATTTTTTTACCCCACCCATATTATAATACAATGCAATAATACCTTGGCTGTTGAGTGCTAAGGGCGATAATTCCCGACGCTTTAGCGGAGGGCGAGCCCGAGCACGAAACTAAGCCAATTTATTATTTGTTATAATTTTTAATTTAATTTAAAGAAATTAGATCTTACCCTAATTTTAAATGTATTTGAATGTTATTTAGTTTCCCTAACCCAGGTTACGAAGACGCTGTTGTTGCCCCTTCAGCAAAGTACACGGTGCTCTCCATGGCCTATAACGACTATCAGTACCTACGTAACGATCCCTGGATTGATCGCTACCTCAAATGTGTAGTTTGTCAGACAACTGGAGAATTTAAGACGAAATGCCCGTTTGGGGTCCACAAAGACAATATCGAGCCCATCTGGAGCTTTGGAAACGGAACTGAAGTCGAACTGCCGACTGATTTTTTGGAGATTTTCGGTATGTTAAAAAATCAGCTCTCTTTCAATAACTTTTTTTTAAATTGGTTCAACAAAGAACACTACCTCAATTAACTATGGGAGTTCCATAAAAACCGCTTTTAATTGCTAACCACCAGACAAATTATAACTCACTGTATTCTAGGTCTTCACGAGTTAAAAATAAAGAAGGTGGACATGTCGCTGGGACAGCAGTTCATCTGCACCTTCGAGTATACAGATCAAATAACTCAGACACCCACAAAACGATCCGCCTCACAAGACGTTATCGTCGAAGGTATCATTCCCTTTAATTTCCTCTCTTTATGAGGAGGAAGATGTTTGACTCAGTTGATATAATAATATGTATAATGATATAATATTATGTATTATATTATGTATAATGATAGTGGAAAACTAAACAATATTTGAGCGTTAAGACCTTTCTAGATTGATTTAATATTATTGAAAAGTGATTTAGTAATATGGTTGTATGTTTGCTAATATTCGTATTAAGAACGAAGGTGCCATGTTGGCTTGTATTTGATTACTTAAGTTTTGATAATATAAATATTAAACTAATATTTACCTCAGCAAGGGAACCTCTGGTGCTAGCTTCAGAACACAATGAGCTGCCTTTGAGACAGACAGTTTATGAAGATTTCAAACTTGAAGTTTATCTCGATATTACCATGAGACAGAGTTTGTTTGAGGAAATAATTGAAGTGAAATGGGGTACAGTAAACGGGGAAGAAACAGAATGGCTCCCTAGCAATGATACCAGGTAGGGTTTCATGAAGTGTTCCACCGTTTAGGTTTATCATTTTATTGCTGAGAAGATTTAAGTATATTATCCTGAATTTAAAACTCATTAAAGCATTAATTAAACATCGTTAAAGTTATCATAGGTTTCCTAACTCACTGGAGCCTGACTTAAGGTTTCCAGGGAATTAGAGGTAATTTTGGTAAATTTGAGGTTAAGTTTTAATTTTGGTAAATTTGAGGTCAAGTTTTGGGAAATTAGAGGTCATGATATACCGGCCTCCCCAGTTTCAGGATTTCTTATAATGAGTCGATTGAATTATATAAGCCCTAATCTTCTTTTCATCAGGCAAAATAACAACTGGGAAACAAAGCGATTGTCGTACGAGATAAAGAACTTTACTGAAAATACTACCTACGTTTGTCATGTATCATATCTAGATCGCCAGATGGCTATCAAGATTCCTGTTCAAACGATCGGTAAGTTCTATTCTCATTTTAAATGTATATGAAATCAATATCTTTGAAACGTAATCAAGCCGAAAATTTAAATGTTTGTGCGACCTAATCCCCACTTTTTCAGTTAAACCCCCGCCAGTCTCAGAAATTACAGAAAACATTACGAACGAATCCTTGACATTCAGCTGGGAACCAGCTGTAAATGATGACAACAACTACTTTATTCACTACCAGGTAATGCTCCTCTTGGTAATCTGGAATAAAATTCACATCAATTCTTATTGCCACTAACCCTCATTAATCCCATTAATTGGTCACCAACACTTCACTTTGTTACAACTGACAACTCCAACCATGAGCTGTAGCTGAAGGCATCAACTATTAGTGTACATAATAGTGTCGTACATTGCAGTACTGTTGTAATATTGTATCTCTCTTTCTACGCTAACTGGGTAGAGTGGTGTAATTACAAAGGTGTGGTTGAGTGCATACCACCGGGAAATCCATTTCCAATCATGCTCTTCATTACAGTAAAATATACATTCGTTTAATGGCCAGGCTTGGCTTGTTGTAGGAGGAGTTAGCTATATCAGTGGTAGTTTTATGAAGGCATATGTTTAAGCGAATATTATTAGATCAAATAATCGCTCGAAAGATTTCGATTCACAAAAAATACTGATCGCGAAATTTCAAGAAACTCACCGTTATTTCCAAACACCAGGTGACAGTAACAAGCGAATCAGCAGCAAGCTACATCACGGAGGAGCCAATCACAATTAAGAGCGATGACACACGTGACCCAAGTGTAACAGTGGGAGCAGAGTTTGTGAAACCTTTCTCAGCATACAGTGTTATGGTTGTGGCTGTGTATGAAGCGGGAACCAGTCTACAGCAGACGCACTCTTATAGAACTGAGGAAACTGGTTAGTTTCTGGATTTCTACCTTGTATGGGTGGTTTCATATTATTTTGCTTTCAGATATCGGTATTGTGATATTTCACCTCTTATATGGTAAGGTCAATCTCATTTAGTTTGTGATCGAGATGTTGCAATTAGACGATTCACAGTACAACATTACTCATGAACGGCACTCTTGTAGAGCTATAGCTATAGATCTGTTTCCTTTGATCTCACATTTAACATCTAGTTCTATTTAAAATTCTCTATTCCAGTACCTGACGCACCCATCCTCGACAACACTCTGATGATAAATCAGCACCCCGACTCTGATATGTATTATACTGAACTTAAAATAGATGCCCCGAGAGAGGGTATAAAAGGAATAATTATTGAGTACAAACTGGTGTTTTTGAGTAAGAAGGCCGGGAATAATATGTCGAAGAGGAGACGGAGGGAGGCTTCTGAAGAAGAGGAGATAATTAATACCATTCTGTTGAACATGTTAGTTCAAATTCGTTAACATAGCTGAATGTTATCCTTTTATTCGTTTTTTAAGCTAAATTCCATGACGTATCAATGTGATTAATTTGTTGACAATTAGATTTTCAAAAACATTGTTTTTTAAATGTCTTCTTTCTTAGCGAAAACAAGGAGCTGAAAGACAATTTCAAAGAAGATGGCAGTTTTGATGGCATCGTTAACCTCACAGTTGTAGATAAAGCTGCAAAAATCAACGCAGTAAGAATATCAGCAAGAACCAGTGCTGGTTGGGGACCTCCCAGTGAACCACCAGTGACCAACTCGGTCTACTATAAAAATCAGAGCAGTAAGTTTATTACATTATCGAGTTAGATCTTTCTTAGCCTGTTTTTAAAAAGGATTTTATTTTTTAATTTGTCGAAAATAGAATAATATGATAATGATAAATATAATTTAAGATCAAAAATTGGATTAGCATGGCCTTCGAAGGGATTAATAAGGGTTGCCATGAAATAAGTCTCTCCTGCGGAGAAGTGGGATTGTGCTCTTCAACGCTCTTATTGTAGCATGGTAAAAAGACAGAGTGAAAGTTGTGACCTTTGAGAATTTCCTAAAAGTTCTAGTATCTTCTGGACAGAATTACTGCGGCGTTATTAATAAAGAAAAAATGATATGTTTCATCATTGGAACGTCTTCATCAGAAATTCAAATTATTTGTCGCATACAAATTATCTGTCATATTATACTAAGTAGTGTTGAAAGTATTAAATATATTGTCAGTGACATTTATTATTAAATATCATATTGTTAATAATATGTTATAATAGTTAACCGTGGCATTCATCTGTGCAAGTCTCTATAAATAAGAGTTCTCATTTGTCACGCTGCATTCGTGTTCTGTAGAACGTTGAAGTGATAGATTTAGGTGTAACTTGGCCTTGAGTCAGCTAGGCGGGATCTACTACACAATCTTGGTTATCAATCACCTGTACGTGTTGCTAAGGGATAGAGAATGTGTTCGGTATGTTACAGTGCCAAAAGTGTGGAAATCACGGTAATTAATTCAATTGATAACTGCATGAACGTAGATCAAAAATCAAAATACACAAAAATCTTTTTATAACAATGATGATTGTAAATGTCCTATACCGTATACCCAATATACCGTGGTCTGTGTACCGTGTACCGTGTACCGTGTACCGTGTACCGTGTACCGTGTACCGTGTACCGTGTACCCCTATACCGTGTACCGTGTACCCCTATACCGATTAATTTTTACTGATTTTATATTCTTCAGAAACCGAACCCACCGGTTGTCACTGTATGTTATGGTCTTATCAGGCTTTAACATATTATGCGAGAAGTAGAATATGCGATCCTACCCAATATCACGTGACAATACGATGGTTATCTTAATTGGATAAATAGGTAATTATATTAAGATAAGAAGTTACGGTTTCTTAAGGCTTCTCTTCTCAAAGAGGGCTTGTGAAGGGGCTGAAGCTAGAAATACTGACGAAATGGTGACATGAGCATGAAGATGCGTCTACATCATTGTAGGTTCATAGTATTGGGTTCATATAACTTTGAGAAGTTGGTTTTTAAACGATTTTTGATTATGTGTGGTTTGGGCCGTCAATTAAATTTAGAAAGGGTTGATAAAACACGTGTATTATGCACAATTATTGTTGACGTAGAGTAAGTTCATTATTATATTATAATATGTACGTTGCAATACCATACCTTTATCTTTTGACCTTAACAGAATGTCTTAATATTAGCCTCCGAATTTAAGGCGATAAAAAATTACGTAAAATATGAAAATACATAGAAGGTTATATTTATATATATACGAGTTTTGGGAAGGTTTCCTCTGTTAAACGGAATGGTAGATTCGCATTTAAACGAAGAAACCATCAAAACACGCATGATTGAACTATTAAGTAAGTTATTTAACGATTATCTTCCGTATCATGATCTGATCTATGTTATCATAATATCATATCTCAGTTCCGTATCATGTCGTACACATGTTGTCACACTACACTGAGGCTTTACGTACGAGATATAAAGATATAACTGTATACAATATGATGTATAGCAATTGTACAGCTTGTATATTTTACACTGTGTGTATTGTTTAGTAATTGTACAGAATGTATAGTTTACACTGTGTGTAATCAGTAATGACGTATACTAATTGTACAGAATGTATAGTTCACATTGTGTGTAATGTATACTAATTGTACATATTGTACAGTTCACACTGTGTGTAATGTATACTAATTGCACAGATTGTATAGTTCATTTTACAGGTGGCGCACACTAAATCCTCTAGGCTCCCTGAACACAGGAGGTCACAATATCCCCCTATTAAGAGTACTGAGCTCTATTCTTCCATTAAACTATAGTACCGGTCAAAATACAAAACGTCAACTTCACCAGTCTAACTCCAATCAGAAGCACCACAATATTTATCCGATCTCTAAGCGTTAAATCAAGGTTTTCTACATGACCCGACTGTTTTCACCCCCCCCCCCCCCCCCTATACACTGTACAATGTACAATGTACATGTATCCCGACTAATTTTAGGATTGAAGATTTGGACAGACGTCTAAATGTCTTGGGAGTGAAAACTGATACAGTGATGCGCGGGTAATGTTCAGTGTTAGGGTTACAAGACTGATGAGGTGAGCATGTATTAGGGTGTGTCCGGTAACCGGGCCCATCCTGCATGTCCTGAAATACATTATACAACTCTAGTGTTGGAGATCTGGGTGATCACTGCATCAGTTATTGTGAGTGATGTAATACGTTTATTATGGGTATTGGATTGGGTACATTGAACAACTTGAAATGCAATTAGTAAACATAGTGATTTAACGGACGCTTTGAACAGCTGTGGTCTGGATAAGGGTTGGTTTTGAAGACAATCTCGTCATTTATAGGTTTATTAAGGCACAATGCTAATCTGGTAGGTTAAGACCGATAAATCATAATGTGTCCAATATTAATTATTCTCCTCTGAAAAAATCATCGTAGGACCATAACTCGTAACTTGGAAAACACATCTGAAGAATCGTTACCACTGCAAATCCGGCGTGTCCAAGCATGATTACAGGCTGCAAACTTACTTGGCATCATCGGAACTTTATTGGTTCTAGTTAAAAGCTTGTTAAAACCTCTATCTAGACACAAAGCTTTTGCCTTTGTAATTTGTTAGGCAAAGATAAAAGACTGCACAATAGAGCCGAAGAACAAAACAAATAAAGCTACAAACAAAACTTACCGATAATTTACATCTACAGACAAATTTTACGTGCAACTTAACCGAAACTATAGCATTACACTTATAACAAGGACTGCTACTATTAATTTCAGCAGAATCTTTGAACAGCGAAATATAGCTTATCCTTAACCCCAAATCTACAATTGCCGATATTAAATAGATTTCTCCGAACAGTCGGGCAAGCCTTAGATCCCTCCTCAAAACAATATAGTTAATAACAATATCGTAAAGTAATGGTCGGATTATGATCTAACGTAACCACAGCGTGTTTCTTGGAATCTAGGAATTCCTAGGTTTAACTTGAAAGTATGCAGCTCAATTGGTTTGGTTTTAATCAGAATATAGCTTAATAACCCTTATTATAATCTAATTGATACACTAGTAATGTACTGATTGATACACTAGGGCTGCCTTGAGTTCCCCGTGCACCCATTTCATTGATAAATAAAAATGCATTTTCAGATCCTTACAGTTTCAAAATATTCTTTTACCTTGAATATAATGCACAGTTCACACGATCCCAGAATTAGATATTCAAAATTAGATTCATTGTTAGAATCTCAAAGTTAGATTTCATTAATCCTGGCAAGAGTCCCAAGTACAAACCAAACAGGGTCACGTGCCCCAGACTGAAGACAGGTCACAGGATGAGACGACACAATTAAATGTAACCGTTAATTGTCTGAAATTAGTGTAAGGTTTCATCGGAATGAGCGCAAGTTCAGGCTTCAAGCTTCACGTTAGATACTATTGTGGTAATATCTTGTTATTGGAGGGGACATTGCGTAATTTATACAACCAGATTTGTTCTAGAACATTCCAAATACTCAAAAGCTCAAACAAACTCACGGTAATTTTATCCCATTTAATATCATCATGTAGTTATAAAATTGAAACGTCAACGTACCTCACCACAGCAGTTTTATCATGATAAAGATCTGAACTAAAAATGAGCTGAGTTTCAACTTGTAACCCACCATAATATAATAGTAGAGATGATCCATTTGGGTACTTAGCTAGCACTTTAATTCGAGTTCTTATTCTTCATTACGGCTCCTGAAGATAACGTCTGAACTATGAGTAAAGAGTTAGTGAGAAGAAATAGCTACGCGCGGCTTCTTTTGTTAATAAAGAGGCCTAATTTGGTAGAATTAAAATTCAGGGAAGTGTAGAATACCAAACTCTGATGAATTATGGAATGTGATATTATTTATGTGCCGTGATCGCCGGATCGACCGCAAAATATTATTGATTTTTATCTGAATTAAAGACAACGAGAAGTCAGGAGATCTATACATCTGGCAAAACACCCTCGATTGCTGGACACTGGACAGCTATGAACGAAAATTTTATTCAATAGCTCCTCCAGAAAATACATTGCGTTTAGGATAAAACTGGCATCATAATTCCTAAATCATGAGCAAGATTCATCGTTGTGTCGCCTTCATGACGATAAATTTCAAATATTATTCCGGCCAAACATTAGCTATTCCTTCCATAATCTCCCTAATTTATCCTCCAAATTTTCAATTTAGTCTTACTAATTTGACGCTGAATCCTTGACCGTAGTCACAATAACCATCCCGAGCATCTATTTCCGACTAATTATATTCCTTTAATTTTCCAATTAACTAATTACACCATAATTTCAGATAAGTGGGTCTACATCGTGGTAGTGTTGGTCATCATGTTTGCGATTGGTCTTGGTATCGCGCTCTTCTGTTACATCAAACGGCACAACCAGGTCAAGAAAATAATAAAAACGCAGTACAACCCGCTTTATCCCCTCATGTAAGTCTTGTTTAACATTTTGTTTAAATTTCTCGGTTCTTCAGAACCTGCAATATTCGGACGTTTATTCCGTTTAACTGTACATTATCAGTCGACGGAGATGTCCTTTACGGGATTGGTATCTGGAGCCTGCAACTCGACAAAAAAAAGGTCGCCTGTCTAGAAAAGCTCCAGAAATTTAGTCGCTACATTTCATTCCCGAACTATTATCCTCACGTTGAAAGTCTAGACTATACTTGACACGTACCTCTAAACATGGTCCACTGTATCACCCCCCTCTCCCTCTCTCTCTCCCTCTCTCTCTCTCTCTCCCCCTCTCTCTCTCCGTACCCCATTACATCTGGCCAAGCTTTGTGATTAAATACTCATTATAGTGGCTCGATATTCTATATCGTATCAATAGTTCACTTATCCTGGTGTTTATTTGCGGGCATCTTATTGGCTTGTTGGGAGTCACGTGGTTTGAAGCTCGTCTCTGATTGGTCGGTAAACTGTCGGAGAATTTACTGATTGGTTGTCCGTGTCCGCCAGTCTTTATGCATTTGATTGCGGTTAATGTTACTGGATGATTAAACGTAGGCTGATGTTTTTAACACAGATTGAGTTGGCATGATAGTTTATAATGGTAGTTACACGCACTCCATGACCATACAGTAAACGTCTTGTAGCCTTGACTTAATCGTGTAATCCGGAAAACTTCTTAAAGTACAATGTTAAAGTGCAGACGTCCGTAAGGATTTGAAAAGCCACTGCTGCAATAATATTATCTTCTTCCAATCATAAATAAAAATATGTAGAGACATTCCTGATTCCTTAAATCTTTTCCATCCTGTAGTACAGAGAGGAGAAGTACGTCTCCATATCTATACCTTTACAGCATTATATACTTTAGTCCTAGTTTAGTAATGGAAGAGGCGAACGTGGGTTTTGAGGTGTTCCACAAAGCTTCTGATGAGAAAGAATCCGATGCTCCGTCCCTTAAATCCCTGAAAACTATTTGATCGCTTCCCCCTCATAACCTCTCATAACGTATGACGAGACTATATAAATGCTAACACAGAAGTACAGAGAGATAAAACACAATCAGTTTACGTCACTTGACACTTCCATAAAACAGTGATCGTCTGTGAGGAATATCTTAGACACTCAAGAGCGCTATCTTTGATATCTGATACGATTTAATCCACAGAGAGAACAATTACCACTCAAAATGTTTCCTTGTGTTCGAGAAAGTGCCCGGTTTCCCCTCTCAGCACGCGTTGTCGGGTGAATCTCTATCAGTTCGTGTCTCTATCACTTCCCCTCTTCTTCCTACTTGTACGGGAAACCCTGTCACACATTTTCTTGATTCATTACTACGCGGACACGCTAGCAGGCCAGCTTTAAAGGGAATCACCCACAGTCCACACTAATATTATAGGTACCCTGTATTGTGTTGGCCTTTCATACACTGGCCATCTTATCCCTCCTTCTCTTTTTCTGACTTCCGCTTCCGGGCCCTCCTCCTTTTTCCTGACACTATCATGTTACCCGTGCATTTTTCTTTGCCCCTGGCCCTCAGGCTTAACTAACTTGCCGGGTAACTCCTGAGAGTATTCTCAAGCTGAACCAATCTCTAACCAGTACTTAAATAGCCTCTGATGAGTCTAACTGGTCTTAAAGCCAGTTTCTAGCCAGTTGCTAACCTTTTGTAACTTCAGGAGAAGTGTAGTTCCGGACCAGTGGGAGATAAACCCAGACGATATGAAACTGAGCACCCTGCTGGGTGAGGGGGCCTTTGGTCGGGTCATGAAGGGGGCCATGCTCAAAGATGGCAAGTCGACCATGGTGGCTGTTAAAATGCTCAAAGGTGAGAGCTCTTTTATTGAGCTGACGCGGCTAGTGTGTGGAAGTTTACTGTTCTGCATTTTTGTTGAAGTCGTAGCAATGTGTAACACAGTGATTTCATATCTTTGCGGATTTTAGATCATTGATGAGCCAGCTTTTCTCTGTTATATACTGGTATCCCGGCGAAGTTGATGGTTGGCTTGTAGCCAAGTTGGCTTTCCGACAACGAGCGGCACGTTTACAAGCAATAAAATGATTTGTTTCAGAAGAGTCGAATAGCGAGCAGGAGGCTGAGGCACTTTGGAAGGAGATTGCATTAATGAAGAAGGTAAATAATAAGTACATCCTGGTGTGTGGAACTATAAAACCAGTTTTTAAAGTTAGATTCAATCAGTGTCAAGCTTACTAATTATTGTGTGTGTGTCGGGAGCGTGAGAGAACGTTCTCAAACTTTACGCGGGCTCCTGATACACAAATACACCTAACGATTCTAAACAATTCGTTTGTTTTTTTTTCTCACAATATAAGGCTTCTCAGCTTCTCAAGTAAATGAAAATGTTTACTTTTTACTCTTATTTAACTAAAATACTGCGTAAAACCCTGTCAATTCCCGATTTCTCTTATTTTCAATCGTTAACAAACTTTTGTAACAAACTTCCTGGTTTGACCCTTTGCAATTTCAGGTCGGGTCACACCCCTACATAGTAAACATAATCGGGTGTGTCACCGTGAAGCCTCCTGTCTGTTTACTGGTAGAATATGTCCCCAACGGGGATCTACAGGTACCCTCCACAAGACATAGCTTTAGATTTTACTAATGTTACTTTAACGTGCTCATCTCCTTAATAACATACAGATAGTACTTTGTTCTCTTTATTATATCGGGGGCAGTTGCCTGGTTTCTGCTTCATGTATGTGAGACAGTTGAAGTGTTCACGCGCTGTTCTGCGGGAGGTATTTCAAGGTCTATTCATGTAGGGTATCTTTGTTCCGGACTGAAACGTTTGTTTCTCCAAAGTCCAAGTCTAGACAAACTCAGTCTTCAGTTGGTGAATTTTGATATCCCCTGAATGACGAATATGGCCATGTCTGTAATGATTTCATTGCTAGTTAAAAATTGAAATTTGATTTCTTTTATAATTTAGAGGGGCTTGATAACGAATTTTTGTCACTGCCAGCTCTCATTTACGACAATCCTTCCGAAGAAAAGCACAAAACCTCACAGTGTACTTAAGTTAGCGTTTCGATTTCTAACTAATTCTTATCATTTCAGACATACTTGCGATCATTACGAACGAAGTTCGAGAAAAATCACTCTCGAAACATCAGAAAAATCTCTTCTAATATCGCCAACTCGGCCAGTAAAAGTAAACAGAATGGTACATGTTCTTTCTTCTCCTTCGTGTTTTTATGCAAAAATATTTCCTGTAGTCACGGTCAACCCAGATATTTAAGGAGGGGGTTTCAGCATTACTTTAGTCGCAGTATAATCTTATAACGAGATAAGTTGCTAATATGATATGCAGCTGATATGATATGCAGCTGATATACGTAGCAAAGCGTGGAATTCCGGAAACCAAGTTAAGGGTGGAGTTTCTAGAGAAACATTGTTTTTGTAGTTCGGCCAATATTAAATATAATATTGGAAAAATAACTTTATTCTCGATGAATGGAAAGGAGGGTTGGTTAATGTTGGAGAAGGGGTATATAATTTTGGGTTGTCTGCGACTACAGGTACCACCATAACAGTGGCTAAGTATTCTTAAATGCTTGATTGTTGAATGAAATTGAATTGTTTGTTGAAAATGATGGTTACATCGAAGAAAAAATGAAATGGATGCAGTACAACATTCCATTGCCCAAAAATGTTCGAAAATTCTCTCACATAAGTTCAAGTCCTTGGACAAAAAATGAACAATTAGAACTGTTTTATACAAGTTGATGAGGAAGTGAGAACTATCTGAACTATTCTGAAAATGCAGTATTCTCATGCATGCGTGTTGAAATTTCGTACAAAATTGTCGTTAAAGACGTGCATTCCTGTACTCCGTTAGAGTCGTTAGCTATGTTATGCAGTACATAACAATATAACGCATGATATTTACTGCATAAAATTCCATTTATAACTACACAACTATTATTATTATTATGGTTTTGGTCATATAAGTGGTGGGTGTTGTAGACAGTACAGCATGTGGTGTACCGTCAATTGTTGACACGTTTTCCATACCCTTTCATTGTTATTCACAACACATAAAACAAAATACCTTGCTCTTCTGAATATACCCACATAATTTAACTGATATTGGTCCAAGTGGTGCTATTATACCCATTTACTACTCCCTTGAAACCTCAAAAAGAGTACGGAGAACTTATTCCAGCCTCTACGGCTGTAAATATGTGTTTATTTTAGAGTATTGTTCCAGCTTGTTTGTATGTATTTATAATTTGTCTGTTTGTTTGAATCTAAACTAAAGTGTTTGTTTGTTTGTCTGTTTGTTTGTAACTAAAGTGTCTGTTCCCATACATTTTAATTATCACTTGTACATTTTAATTATCGCCTTTAATTTTCTCATATCATCACATGCAGCACTTCCATCAGCGGAACTATAAACTCATTCAGCGCTTGTTTTCCTTTTAAACCCCCGGCCTTCCCCTCCACCAATCACACGTCTCCCCTCTCCTCCCCGACCAATCACGGCACCGTATTTAGCCCACGTGACAGCTGTACGGAGCTGATGACAGGACGAAGGTTTATTAGAAGAAATGAGAGTGCAGGTTCGGGAGAGATCTCCTCTCTTTTACCACAGTGTATCAGCGTGTTAGTTACTTACTTACACACACACACACACACACACACACACACACACACACACACACACACACACACACACACACACACACACACACACACACACACACACACACACACACACACACACACACACACACACACACACACACACACACACACACACTGTCCTGAGTGTCCCGTGTTATATTCCCCTAAATAATACTCTGAAAATCTGGTGTCATGACACACCGCACGTGCCGTGTAGGCCGTATTACATCAAACTTATTAATAAAAGCTTCTTTAACTATCACCAAGAAGTTAAACATTATAATCGGCTGCATTATATAATTATATGTAGTTTCTCGTGCTTAATTTCCCCAAAACTCGAGTTGCCATATGTTAAACTTATCGGTGGACTATGCAGCCTAAACAGAAAATTGTTGAAATGGACCAGAAACAGATGTGTCCCTGTGTTAAACTTCAAACTAGAAATAGGCATTTTAAGTTTCAGAGATTGAACCCAAAAACAAAATTTCCTTGTGTTTCAGGTGGCTCATCAAACAGGGACACAGACCCGTTAGAAGACCTCCCAACATTTGCTCCAGCTGGTAGTCCGAACGAGTATGTAAACCTTAAGAGCCCTGATCCAGCCTACATTAACCTTCAGGTAACTGAGCTGTGGTTGTTTGTTAGTTTGTCACAGTGTCGTCAAATGAAGTTCGTGTCTTAGATCGCAGAGCGTCCTGATTTGCTGATATTTAAAACGAGAAATGGGCGTTATTTTCGGCGATCTTAAACCCAATACTCATGATCTGAGCACTCTTAAGTCAGAATACCGTTAGTCCGTGACCAGGTATAGTATGTGACCAGGCTGAAAGCATTTGTCATTTCTCAGCAAGTATTTACTCACGTCCGAAAGTCGATGTTTCAACATATCTCGACAAATTTTTCATCAGCTTTACCAGGCTCACGTCAGTAACTATGTTCTGTGATATACCGATATAGACCGATATAGACCGACAAGACGTGCCTCCACAAACCACATGTCACTTCGTAGACACCTGACAAATAGTACACGATTAGTGTCGTGAAGCAGTAAGCTCGTCTACACTCCTCTTCTGATAACATCTCTTCAACACAAAACACAGTCACACTCCTCTCAACTCTAGACAACAATGCAGTTTAAATAAAACCACATTTCTTACTAATTGGGGCTCCTAATAGGGCTCCAAGCTGGCCCTTAGGCGTTACTTTCTAAACCGTTTAATAAGACGTGTACACGACCACCTCAATTAGGTCAATTACCGATCAATTACCAGCTGATTAGCGTGTACGTTTGTTACATTTACTCGTGGGTTCTCGTTACAATTTACTGTACACAACAGGTTTCTCTAATTGTCAGACTCCCTTTTTTCATGGTCTGCTGATTGTAAATAATTCAGATCGGGACGACTGCCAATTTGGAGGGCCGGGCCCCATTTTTACTGCACTTCGTCGCGTATCTCTGAATTAAAAGTCACATTAGTTGGGCTAGATTGGAATGTTCACCCCATTGCACTGTGTAAAAGAATCCTGGGGGTTTCAATTAATCAATACTTTAAGGGGGCCGGGGGGGGTCTTCATCAAAATTCTCTCGAAATTGATTTTATAGTTGTTTCTGATAGAGGGGAGTGATATATATCAGCTGCTTTTGGTCCCATGGAAAAATATTGTTCCTAGCCGAAATTATCGCTGGTCAAAGGTCAGCGCTCATGTGTAATTGTATTGCGCGAGCGATTTTCAATCGCGCGTCCTGAAAATCGAGTCTAAAAATCTATCTTCTCCTACATTTTTTGAGCAATCACCCTGAAACTTTCAGGATATGTTCTAGGGATCATTTAGAAGAGAAGTATCGAGCCGATTTTTGAGATAGGCCTCAGAAAATTTTTAAATCGATTTTGAAAATCTTGGCCCTGGAAAAATCGTCAAAAAATGAGGTCCAAGATTTTCAAAATCGAATTAAAAATTTTCTGAGGCCTATCTCAAAAATCGGCTCGATACTTCTCTTCTAAATGATCCCTAGAACATATCCTGAAAGTTTCAGGGTGATTGCTTAAAAAATGTAGGAGAAGATAGATTTTTAGACTCGATTTTCAGGACGCGCGATTGAAAATCGCTCTCGCAATACAATTACACATGAGCGCTGACCTTTGACCAGCGATAATTTCGGCTAGGAACAATATTTTTCCATGGGACCAAAAGCAGCTGATAGATATCACTCCCCTCTATCAGAAACAACTATAAAATCAATTTCGAGATAATTTTGATGAAGACCCCCCCCCGGCCCCCTTAATCTATCTTTAGACTTATATTATCCTGAAGTCTCCACAGAGTTTGATTGAGTTCTGATTGACTTCATATCGGAGCAGTGTACAGTATTAGCAGCATAATACAGCCTCTTGCTTGTCAGAGACACACCCTGCCATGCATATTAATCAAACTTTAGTACATTTCGTGATTTAGGTCTGCAAATTTGATGAGAAACTTTAATATTACTATATTATATCGTATCTTATACAGTCATTATAATTGATAGCCTCTCCACGTTGTACTAGACGATAGATCGGAATCGCTTTTAGAATGGGAAAAGCATTAACTTAACAATAATTATTACTTAAGTGGGAACTCGTGAGTGGTCATTTTTGGTGAGAAATATTTCATCCTCCCGCAATAAAGTATATAAGATATAGGTGGCTTTCACGTATTGCTTCATCCAGTGTACAGTGTAGTGTAACATTTATTTCAAAGAGTTGTCAGCTAATCTACAACTTAATGGACATTTTATGTTCCCAGGTCTTATTTGGGAAAATCCGGTAATAATACGAGGGCATTTCTTGGTGGGTGGTAGATTAAATCGCAGGTAATCTGTTGGTATTTTTCCAAATATCAGTTATGATGCCAGTAAATTCCGGCTGATTGGTGAGGTGACAATTTTACGGAAGTAGTTAATAGAATAATAGAATGTTGTGGATGAAAATAATTAAAATGGGTAGTCTACTGGAGACTACAGTGATTAAAACACAGTTCCGATGAGTGTTTACTACTTTACTATACAGTGCACAGTTTCACTGTATGTTTAATGTACAGTTTCACTGTATGTTTAATGTACAGTGCACAGTTTCACTGTATGTTTAATGTACAGTTTCACTGTATGTTTAATGTACAGTGCACAGTTTCACTGTATGTTTAATGTACAGTTTCACTGTATGTTTAATGTACAGTGCACAGTTTCACTGTATGTTTAATGTACAGTCCACAGTTTCACTGTATGTTTAATGTACAGTTTCACTGTATGTTTAATGTACAGTGCACAGTTTCACTGTATGTTTAATGTACAGTCCACAGTTTCACTGTATGTTTAATGTACAGTTTCACTGTATTTATAATGTACAGTTTCACTGTATTTATAATGTACAGTGCACAGTTTCACTGTATGTTTACTATACAGTACACACAAGTGAAGCCCCGTGAACTGTGAAGAGTAAATCAGGTGGTCAGTTAGACCGCTTCTCTTACTCAATACTCCCTTTAAACCCTTTACCTTCTCTTTACCGGAATGTCTACGAAGTGGGCGTGACTCATTCCTGATAAGTTCCTGTTAAGGTTACATTCCTGCCATTCTTCCGCCCAAGTTTTATAGATACCTTGGTTTGTGAAATTAATTTAACAAATGATTAAGAAACCCTTTTATAAGTCAATTATTTAAATACTTTCATTCTTTATAAGAGTTTATTAATCGAATAGTTAAATGGCCTTTGATATTTGGTGACATTTTACATAATAGGCACGGTCTAAAAGTTTTCCAATTTAATTCCACTCAATTTCTGGACCAGTCAGTTAAATCTACTTAATAAATTTCATGAAATATGCTTATTTTAAGTGTTCAACAGTAACAGCTAAATGAGCCCAAGTCATATTAAGAAAGTGTTAGATTTTGAGGGATAGCGTTGTTAAGGTCTCACATTATGTCTTTATGAATCATGTAGCATGAAAAAGTGTTGCAAGGCTTCGTCTCCGATACTTCTACATAGGGTGTGGTGGAGGCGCGATGATTTTCAGAGATGTGTTCATTTACTGATCTCAATATCTGTTCAGAGCTGATTTTGAGAAGTTAGAAAACTGCATTGCAACCTTACAATTGCTGATGATAACTCAAATTGTGTTAGACTCTGATTAGAATCTGATCGATACGATATTGGTATCTAATGAAAGAAACGATTATACCGATATAATATCGTGATTCATATAAATGGATTCCCTGGTTTCTGACCTCATCCTCACTTCAGTGATCTTTGAAGTCTGAAGTGAAGGTAGGGATGGTAACTTCTAGATCAGAAGTCAGAGATATCACAACAAGCCACAGAATCTGTTGAAATTCATCTGTCTCTGTGTCTCTATTCAATATAGTGATGTGAATGTCACTGTCTCCCCTGATTTAGTGACCGTAATTTTTACAAATATATACCCGATATAAAAATATACAAAATCTATAAATAGCGAGGTCTGAAAGTGTTTGTGTTTTCGGGGGAGTTTGAGAGAAAATAAAACTCTACACCCGTGATAATTAGATTAGATGAGGATACAAGTGACAAATATCGTGCTGTTTTCAAACACTTTACTAAATACTACAATTTGAAATATGCAGTACTGTAAACGCAGCTTCACCGATGAAAGGGGATAGTTGCATTGATTAAAATCCAAAGTTATTTAGCTATGTTTTTATGTCTAACGTGCCGGCTGTAGCGAAGGTCTAAAATCTCGGCACCTATCAAAGGCAAGGAGTATCATGTCATTCGACATGTCACATTGTCACCCGTAACTTAAAAATGAAAATATCCAACATATTCCACATTCTAACATAACATACCAGCACGACACGGAATAATCCAGACTTTCTCATTTAACAAGCAGTCCCTCACTTTTCAGAAGGATATAAACGTCCGATGTAGTCCATTCTCTGTAAATTGAACAAATACTAATTTCGAAAACGCAAAAGTCCGAAACATTTTTTCACTACAACGAAATTCTTGGCATCTTTTTAGTTTTTGCTCGTCATAGTTAAGTAATTAATCTACAAATTTAATCGAGGATCGAGAGATTAGCCGGAACTTTTTGTCATTCAGATTCTTTGGACGTAAGTCATCCTCCGTGGTGTATTTAGTTCACATCATTAGTACACACCAGCCCACAAAAGTATTTAGTTCACATCATTAGTACACACCAGCCCACAACTACCTGGCATTTTTCCAACTCCCCAAATCCAGCTGAAAATCTGCCAAATCTGAGTATCACGAGAAAAATCTTACGAGAAATAAGATGTCTTCGAAAAATTTGACTTGAGACGATGTGTCTATGAATTTTCCCTCGTTTTTCCCTCCTTAAAAGAAGTTTAAAAAACAACCAGTATAACCATATTTTAAGGAGCGTTTCAACCTTACGTAAGCATAAAAGTAACCGCTACGAATTAATAAAGTTCTATTTTAAAATGGTTCTAGAACTTTCTACAGGTTACAAGAACTTTCCAGAAAGTCAAAAGAGCAGGCTGGCCCAAAATAAACGCCATTTCAACATGTCTAAATCCTGCGCTGCAGTAGATCTATTAGTAGTGGTGTAAAATACAACATATGT